ACAGCTGCATTTACACTCAGGTTTGAGGCTGGATTTGAACTGGGGTCGTCCTGACTCTAGGCCCTTCTGATCTATGGCACTCCCTAGCCAGCATCGTACCAGGCACTGGGGATAGAATGACAAGAAATCATCCCCTGCTGCCTAGGAGGAGTGGAGGGAAGCAGGGGTGCCTTTCAGGACACTCCCTGTCAGGAGGAAGAGCTCTCTTCTTCCTTGGCCTTGTGCAGCCACCCTGAGCATTCCGAGCTTTATTTCATGTTGCTCAGGTCCAAGCTCACTGGCCCTGGCCCAGTCTGTCCTTGGCTCCCTTCCAGGCTTGGCCCAGATCCTTCTCTGACTCCTACCTGTTCGTGTCTGATGATCTTGTGATTATTTATCGGTATGTTATCTCACTGCTCTTGGGACCCTCACACACCACTTGGAGTAGGGACTTCATCTGTGTTCTTTTGTTCTTTTCTGTTTTCCTGTCCTGTGTCTAGGCTCCCATCTCCTTGGGGGCCTTAAAATGTCATGACAGCACAGTGTGTTGTAGGGTTGGATTTTTTTTTTCTTTTCTTTGATTGAAGCAGGGATTTTCACGGATGTGGTAGTCCCAGCCGAGGAAGCCCCCCCTGCCAGTCCAGGACCATTTGCAATAGAGAGTTGCCTGACGGTCTCTTAATAGGACTTTCCCGGGGTCTGCCAGCCAAGCCTGTCAGATAACCTTTGATTCCAGGTCTTCCTGACTCAGGTGGGCCCTGTCCATTCCTTCACGTGCCTGTTGTCTGATGACCATGTGAATTGTCAAAGCTCTTCCCTGCAAATTCATTGGAAACTGGGACAGGTGGTTTTTGTATATGACTTTGCTTTTGAAAGGTGGGGAAGGGCAAGGTTCTCAGAAGACAGCAGGGGGTTAGGGCTTGGCACACTGTATTGGAGGGACCGAGGAAGAGAAATGTTTCTTTTCTCCCTGGGCTGATCTTCCTGAGTCCCAGCTCTTGGCTTGGTTTCCTCCCTAACCTAAGTACTGTAGCAGCAATCTGCCCTTGTGAGCCCTGGCTTCCTTCCTAGCTTCATTTTTTAGTGTGGAGTGAGGGCAGCTTCCTTTTTCTCTTTGCCCATTTCCCTACCTTGCTTGCTTGAGAAAGGAGATGGATAGACCTGTCTCCTCGAGCTCCAGAGCTGCTTCATTCAGTTTTAGGAGGGAAGAAATAACCCAACAAGAGAAACGTACACATCTTAAAAGTCTCTGCTTCTGCTCCCTTTGAGCCGACTTCCAGTTGGCAGTAGGAGTGTCCCTCACTCACTGCAGCCCCGAGTTGCCACCTGGACAGGACACAGCAGACTTGGGAGCATCATCACACTGTTAATGAGCATCCACGACTGGTTCAACTTGATCCCAGGGCACCAAAAGACCCATGGAGAATAAGGGGGAAGTGGTCGAAAACAAGTGTGGAGGGCTGATGACCTGATTTTTTAAAAAAAGGGGGGTGGAGGGAGCAATTAAAAAAAATGACGGATCATGGAACTTGATGTTGGTTCCTGGCAGAATTGAGCCGATCATTTGTGATCCCTGGAAGCCAGCCTGACATGCCAGCCTGCAAAGCCTGGTGGGATTGGCTCACAGTGATCACATGCATTAGCACTGCTTCCGGAGGGCCACATGGAGGGAGTTCTCTAGTGCCCGGTGGCAGGACTGTGGTCCTAGCCCTCATGTAGTACGTGAGGTCATCGGTGACCCAGACGAAGCTGGAATCAGGAGCTCACACATTGAATGCAAAGGTCGGATTTCTGAAGACCCCACCCAACAGACTCTAACAGTGGGCTCCATCTGTCTGACCATGGGAAATTGATGGAGGGGCCATGTCAAGTTCTGAACTTGGATTTTTTGGTCTGACCTCCTGCTCTGTTGCTTTCATTTTCTTTCATTTCCAAATAGCCCCCTTCCTTTCTTAGCCCAAAAGCCCTCCCTTGGGATGAGGAATTAACAAAAAGGAGCAAAGGAAGCTTTCAGTCAAAGTGACCCAAGGCTGGCAGCGTTTGGCTCTTAGAGGAGAAGTCTTGTTTTAGCCGCGGTTCTTGGAGAAAGGAAGCAAACGTTTTAGGAGATTGAAATATGAATGCTGGTAACTGACTGTGTATCACCTCATAGTTTGCAAATATTCCTGCGTCTGTTTTCTTACATACTCAGTGCTTCAGTTTGTGTTAATGCCCTTTTATTAAGGAGGGAATTGAGGCTTCAGATGGGCCTATGGCTTAATAGTTCCTGAGTGTCTGAGGCAGGATTTGAACCCAGCTCTTTGTGGTGCCCAAGTTCAGCCACTTGGTGTGAATGAGAGAAAAAACATTGTGGAAAACAAAAAAGAACTCCAGTGATTACCGTGTGCTAAGCTCTAAGGGTGCAAATCCAAAAGCAGAGACTCTGCCTGGCCTTGGTAGCTTCTCTTCTGCCCGGGGCTGTGGAGAGCTGTCTTTGGTCCTGGAGGTATGGTGAGTAGAGAGTTGTAGGGGGAGCATGTGGATACTTCCTTATCAGAAGCAATGACCAGGGGCACGTGAGGGGCCCCAGGAGGACTCTGAGGCTTCTCAGCTGACTGGGAGCAAAGTGTGACCTGACTATAGACAGGGCCTCGACGTAGGGTAGAGGCACCTGGGACTTCTCGGCAAACTCATGACTTGTTCACATTGCAATGTCTGCCAAAGATGGGAAGGCAGTCCTGAGCTGCTCAGCTCTATTCTCCAGCCCAGAAATCACTGTCCCAGCACTGTGGGCTTGGGGTCCCTTGGGCATGCATTTTCCGTTCCTGACTCCTCAGCTCTGTTCAAATCATTATATCCCATCCATTGTCAAAAGTTGCCTTTCCTACATTAATGACATCCTATCCTATCCTTTTGTTCCCTCATATAGCTGCCATTTTAGTTCATGCCCTTCTCATTTCTCAACCTGGATTATTGAAGCAGCCTCCTAATTCTACTTCCTGCCTTGGTCTCCCCACTATAGGCCGCCTCACTCATCACTACTGTTCCTTCTGTGTAGATATGACCAAGTCTAACCTAGTCTGGGATCAACTAAAAACTCATCTAGTTGGCCTTGAACAGGCTAGTCCTAACCTATCTGTCCAGCCACCGTGGACACCATTGCCCTCTTCCCATCGTCTGTGTTCCAGCCAGGTTGGCATTCCCTCTCTTCTTCAGACAGGACTCTTCTTCCCTTGCGCCATTATGTCTTTGTTCCCATGCCTGGAATGCCCGCCCTCCTTGCCTCTCTCACCTCCTTCGAGAGGCTCATGACCTTCCAGACGCTAGTGGCCTTCTTCCCAAACCACTTGTTTCACTCCTTTCTGTGTGGTATTTAATCTGTCTGAGCCACACACAGTTCTAGGTGTTCTTGTTTCCCTCAGATTAGTACATAAAATACTGTGAGCAGCCTCGGGGTTATTTTCTTCTTCTTCTCTTTTAAAAATAATCAGTTTCTGTTTCGTTCTCCACATTCACTTCCATAAGATTTTGAGTTTTAAATTTTTCCCCTCTCCCCCAACATGACTTGCCGTCTGATACAGGCTCTGTTTATACATTCATATTAAGCGTCTTTTCACATTAGCATAGAAGAGTTAGAACTAATGGGAGGAACCCCGAGGAAGAAGAAACCAAGCCAAACAATACAAGAGAAGGAGAGCAAGTAGTCTGCTTCCTTCCACCTGCCTTCAGACTCCACGGTTCTTTCTCTGGATGTAGACGGCATTTTCCATCATGAGACCTTTGGAGGGGTCTTAGATCCTGGCTTTGCTGAGAAGAGCCAAGTGTATCAGAGGCAGTCATGGCACAGTGTGGCTGTTACGGGGTACAATGTTCTCCTGGTTCTGGTCACTTCACTCAGCCTCAGATCATATAAGTCCTTCCAGGTTTTTCTGAAGTCCGCCTGCTCATCATTTCTTGTAGCACAACAGTATTCCATTACGTTCACATACCACAGCTAATTCAGCCATTCCCCAACTGATGGGCATCCCCACAATTTCCTTATTTTTATTCTTTGCGTTTAAATTCCCAGGGCCTAGCACAGTGCCTGGATAACAGTAGGTGCTTAATAAAAACTGGTTGGTTGGTAATCTTCATTGACCCCAGGGGCACTTTCATTTTTATCTAATCTGTTATGCTAGACTGAATTTAGAAGTTCCTTGAGGGCAGCCCAATGTCTTACATGTGGAATGTGCCAATCCACCCATGTTTCTGATTGATTCACTGGCTGGCCTTGTGTTTTGGGTAGTCAGCCAGCTCAGACTCCTTTCTAGAACCTGAGGGGCTGCAGAGATGACCCACCCATCCCAATGTCAGGGTTGATGTCATTCTCCTAAAGAGATGGCTGGGCCTGTGTCTGAAACCTTAGTGGGGGAGAAGGTAAAATTCACTGGGACCGAGCTGCTGATACATTTGTGAGTGAGCACCATTGGGCAGGCATGCGGTAAGGGAGGTGGCAGCCCCCTCCTCCAAGAAGAATAGAGCAGGGCTATGGCAGAGCTGGGAGGGGCTGACCTCTCCTTTGGGTGATGCTGAGGCCAAGACCCTGTGGGGCTGAGATCACACATGAGAGAAGTGGAGGTCCCCCCCACTCCTTGGAGGGCTTGCACTGCTTTGTTCCTTACAATAAAGTGGAATGGCATTAGGACCCAAATATGCTCATGTGATTTCTTCAGCTAAGGGGAATCCCCTTCCTCTAGTCTGTGACTTTGTCACTAAGTCCTGGAGAGAAGGGCTGAGCCAGGCCGTGTTGGGAGGGGTTCATTCACTTGTAGGGGGAGTTCCTGGGGTGGCACCTGAGCCTAGATTTTCCTGACTCCAAGCCGAAGCAGTGGCTGGACCCCTTGGCCTGTAGGCCTCACGGATCTTGAAGGTTTTCCTGCCCAGACTTGGGTCACTGGAGCTTGCCAGAGTGAATGTTCTTGAGTGTGGGAGGCTTTGCCTGGGCCCAGATACCACTCAGCAAATGACATTTTTACTTCATTTCTTGTTCTTTTTCTCGTTAGTTATCTTCAAGTGCTCTGAAGCTGAGAAGTAATTCGGTAACTAGTAAAAATGGACAAAGAAGAAAAGAAGACTCTTAATGAAGGCCAAGAGGATGAAATGGTAATCCTGTTTGCTGATTCAGGCAGTTGGAAAGAATCAGAGAGTTTTGGGTGGAGGAGGGGAGTGGGGGCTCAGCCAGAGAGGATGAGACCTTAGCATCCATAAGGTTCCTGGCCCCAGTGATCCATGTAGAGGGAGTTTCTTTGGGCTCAAATTCCTTGGGGTGGGCAAGGGAACCGAGATGACAAAGAGTGAGCAGGGCAGCACAGCCAGGCCATGCAGGTGGTGTAGCTCGCACACCTGTTTGCAGTCTGGAGCTCTTGTCCTACTGACCCTTCTGTGATCTGGGGCATGGCCCAGTGGGCAGAATGGACTGCATGTGTGGAAAAACCAGGGAAAACCCTGGAAGCAAACATTGCCAAGCAGTGTTCAAGGGGAAAAGTAGCCTCACAAGGCCATTGAAGCATCCCTGGGAGGTACAGGGGCCAGCCAGAAGAGGGCCCAGTTTCTCTGAACTGAGCCCAAAGAACAGCCTTCAAACGTTTCCCAGCACAGCAGGCAGGATGTGTTTTCACTGTCCCAACCCTCCTCACTATGATCTATCGTAAACATGGACTGTGGGACACAGACTGTGACATTAAAGGCAGACATTTAAAATGAATCCTGGGCTTTGCAGCCTTGGGACAGAGAGACTTCTGCCCAGAACGAGCTCAGACATATTTGAGAGGGCTGCAGTGAGGGAAGCTGGGCGGTGAGATTTGGAGCAGGCCCCCCTCCCCCCATTCCCTACCCCCCCCCCGCCCTGTCATTTGACAGATGGGGAAATGGAGGCCTCGAGAATTGATGGAACCTGCCTGTGTTCTCAGGGTTTAAACCCAGGCTCTCCAACTGCAAATCAAACCCTCTGGGTTTTTTGGGTAATGTCGAGACGGGTTTGGATAGGTTTCATATGCTTCTGTGCTTTCTCTGTTCAGATTTAGAATTTTGGAGTCCTATCATAATCTAGAAAAAATACCTTTTATTTTCAAGTTAATAGCTGTTGTTATTCAGTTGTTTTTCAGTCGTGTCCAACTCTCCGTGACCCCATTTGGAGTTTTCTTGGCAGAGATACTGGAGTGGTTTCCATTTCCTTCTCCAGCTCATTTTACAGATGAGGAAACTGAGGCAGACAGGGTGAAGTGCCTTGCCCAGGGTCACCCAGCCAGTGTTTGAGATCAGATTTGAACTCAGGAAGATAAATCTTCAGGCCTAGCACTCTGTTCCCTGTGCCACCTAGCTAGTTTTAGTGGTAGATAGCATTTAAAATTTATAAAGCACTTTACAAATATTGTCTCTTTTTATCTTCACAACAGCCCTGAGAGGGAGGTGCTGTTATCATCGTCCCCATTTTTCAGATGAGGAAACACAGGTAGACAGAGGTGAAGAGACTTGCTCAGAATCACAGAGCTGTAGGAAGCCAGCATTTGAACTGAGGTTTTCCGGACACCAGGTGCAGTCTTACGAGGGGCTGCTTCCAAAGGGATCCCATGAGGCCACCCCACACAGTTACCTTTTCTTGGGTGGGGCCAGTGGGGAGCACGGGCAGACAGTTTGCCATAGAAAGGGAAAAGAGGAGGAGGTGTATAGGAGACTGGCCTTTTCTATAACAAACTTGACGGGGGCAGCTAGGTGGCACAGAGGATAGAGCACCGGCCCTGAAGTCAGGAGTACGTGAGCTCAAATCCGGCCTCAGACCAAACACTTGACACTTACTAGCTGTGTGACCCTGGGCAAGTCACTTAACCCCAATTGCCTAAAAAACCCCCACCAAAAACAACAACAACAACAAAACAACTTGACACATCACTTCCAAAACGGTTTTGCTTACTTGTGATTCTAGCCTCCCTTGCCCTCTCTTCTGTGCGTTTCTATTTGCTTATTTGCTTTTTGATGAGGCAGTTGGGATTAAGTAACTTGCTAAGGGTCTACACAGCTAGTAAGTGTCAAGTGTCTGAGGCTGGATTTGAGCTCAGATTCTCCTGACTCCAGGGCTGGTGCTCTATCCACTGTGCCACCTAGATGTCCCTCTTTTGTGCATTTTTAAAAAATGCTTCAATAACCCTTTTGGTGCAGCCTTTTCTCTCCCTTCTCCCTATTCATTTCTTAGATGGGTGATTGATTGAGTAAAAACTACTTTAGATTTTGAAGCTCCCAGCCACACAGCCCTAAACCCATCCGAGCCTGACCCCTGTCCCCAGATTCCCAGCTGCTGTTTGGTTCCCCCCAGTGTGCTAGAGGGGATTCCACGTATTCCCCAAGTATTGAGAGGGGAGGGCGGGATTCAGGCAGCTCAGGACAGATGGGCTGATACAACAAACCTTGTCGCTCTGGATCGTTGAGAAGGAGTGTTGTTGAGAGTGGGGGTTGTTCACGCACCCGTCACCAGTGTTGGGAGGAAACATGGATTATGGATGCAGGAATCACTGTTTGTGGTCTGAGCCAGGCATAAGTATATTACACAGTCAGGGGGAAACATGGATTATGGATGCAGGAATCACTGTTTGTGGTCTGAGCCAGGCATAAGTATATTACACAAGAGAAGATGGGCTGGTCATTTTTCACTTGCCACATTCTCCACTTTGCAGGCCTGCTTGCCTTTGGGTGAGCTGGGAGAGCCCCATCCTTGGAGTGCCCAACCTCCAGGCCTTTGCTGCCTGCTTCCTTCAGGCCGCAGCTTGGGAGCCTTTAGGGGCGCTAGCTTCCTCCTTGACTGACCTTGGACTAGATTTGTGCACGGCTGTGGCCCCCAATAGAAAGCAAGCTTCTTGAGGGCAAGGATTAGTTTCATTTTTATCTTGAGATTCTTGGAGACTAGCACTGGACTTTGTATGTAGTAGGTGCTTAATAAATGTTTGAATTTAGTGCAGATTATTTCCATGTTGTCCCCATTCTTTGGCATTTCTATTAAATGGTGCACAGATTATCCAGGTGCTCAAAGCCTTTCATGTTGGAGCTGCCCCAATCTCAGGCTGGTAGGGAATCCATAGGAAGGGGCGTCCCTAAGCGAGGGGACTTGAAGCCTGCCTCCAGTTTACTTTGTCAGAGCCACGAACAGGACAGACAGCTTGCTAGGGCAGAAGCTGGCCCCCTCTACCTTCAGATACTGTGAAGGGTCCACCGCAGGTGTCTGTCATGGAAACGGAGGCGCATTCTGGGGTGATCTTCCTGGTGATTGATTATTTGTTGGTTAATAGAGAAATCAAAAGAAAGACTGGTTTGTTGAATGCCTCTTATGTGCCTAGGGTGGGTGTTCCAGGGGAAACTGTGTTTGGGCAGGTACTTGGGAAAGAGAGCAAGAATTGTTTTGAATCTGACAGTTTGGCTGGTCAGATTTCGAATGATGAAAAATTAAATTCTTTGCCTAAAATGCTACAAGGTCTGGTTGATCACGATTTGTTTTCCTGTTTGCACTCAGGAGATTTATGGTTACAATCTGAGTCGGTGGAAGCTGCTCATAGTTGCATTTGGGGTGATCTGTACTGGTGGCTTCCTCCTCCTCCTCCTCTACTGGATGCCCGAGTGGCGGGTGAAAGCCACCTGCTTCCGAGTGGCCCTCAGAGACTGTGAGGTGGTGCTGCTGAGGACGACGGTAAGTGTGTCTGGTGCCTGCTGCCGAGGGCTGTCCTCCTCGGGGCTCTTGGTGAGACCCTCGTCACCCCGGGCCTCACCCGCAGGAGGAGCTTTGCCAGTTGTTCTGCTTCCTTTCTGATCTGAGAAGATGCTGTTCCTCAGGTACGGCTCTGACTGACCAGTTTCTCTTCTCAAAAACTTACTGCTTCCACAGCACTTGACTGGCCATGTAGCTCCGGGCCTTCCACTCGCCCTCCATGTTCTCTGTGGGACACGCGTGGCTGGAAAGCCCTCGGTGGTTTCTCTTCTTCCGGGTCTCTTCATACTCTGCTTCCGGAATCTTTTCTTCCTCCAGGAGCCAGCCTGGTGTGACAGGGATTCCCTCTTTTGAGGCTGCCCGGTGTTGGCTTGCTGGGGATCTTGTCTATCCCGTAATCGAGCTTCGGTAGAGGGTGGCTGCGAGCTCAGGCCTGAGCAGTCACTCGTGTGGAGCATTTGTTGAGTTGAATCTTCTTATCTGGATTTTGTGTTGTTGTTTTCTTTGAGTGTTACACGTGCGAAAGCCATCTCCACCAGTCTCCAAATTGGCAGACAGAAACCTGGAAGCCCAGAGAGAGGGTGGCTCTTGCAAAGCCTCCCGCTGGCCTTTATGTGGTCTGAGCATGAGGCTTCATCAGTGGTCTCTATTTTTCTAATTGAAAATGGGAGTCTCCCTTTGGTTATGACCCCCTTCGGGGGTCATTTGACAGTTTGCAAAACTAAAGAATTGTTTTTGTAAGCATGAGATTTGATTTCATGAAGGTGCCAGAAAAGCAAGGACAGAAGTGCCCATGGAGAAGCTTGGTCTTAGAGGATGTTAGACCTGGGCTCTGGGGCAGCGCGTGAGTCGCTGACCCTCCAAGCTGCAGGCTGCCGAGGGCAGGCAGGTTGGGTTTGGTCTGTGTGAGGAGAGGACGTTCTCACATCCGTGGAAATCACGGGGCCATGGTCATGTCGCCCTCTGTACCTCGGCCCACCTCGCTTTCTTCATCCGTAGCGCAGGGGCGGTATTAACAGCCAGGGCTGGCTTTGCCCACCTCAGAGGGCCTTGTCAATGCTGGGGATTCCCACGACCCTTCCCACATCTTGTCCGGGGTCATCTGGGTAGCGACAGGGCTTGAACTAAGTCTAGAATGTTCTGGGAGTTTTGTCCGAGTGAAGGAAGGGGGAAAATCCTGACTTCTGACTGCACTGTGAGCAGGAAGCCTGCTGCCTCTGATGGCGAATGGAACTGGAGGGATTTGAAGTGAGAGCCAACAGTACCTTGACACGGTGCTGCCAGGGGCCTGCCTAGGCCCTGCTCCTCAGCGCTGGTCTCGCTGAGGTCACGTGCCCAGTGTGAGGGTTCTGGGACCCCAGAATGAAGAGCGAGGCCTTCTCTAGCATTATCTGCCCATGCCTGCTGCTAGTGCAGAGGAGTCCTTCCCGAGGGCTTGTTGATTGATTGTCATGTGGCATACGTGTCTGCAGACGAGAATGCTAGAATGAAAACCTTTATTTTTCTCTTTTTTCCAAGGATGAATTCAGGATATGGTTTTGTGCAAAAGTTCGCTTTCTTTCTCTAGAAAACCACTCATTTTCAAGCCCTAAAACAGTAACTAAAAAAGTGTCCAATGGCCACGCTGCTCATTTCCATTTCCCTGAGGAACTGCCTGAAGAGGACCAGCGTGACCTTGCCCAGCCCCGAGAGGTACCGTGGCCTCTGCCTGCTTCCTGTTCTGAGAGCGAGGGGGCGCGTTTAGGGGCGGGACGGAGGAGCCTTTGGGGCCTGGCCAAGAGCTGGGGCTGGAAGGGTGTGTCGGGGTGCTGAAGCATGGGAAGATGTGCTTGAGGCCACTTTCTTGTCTTTTGAAGTGACTGTTCATTAGTCAGTTGAAATGTTAAGAGCTAGGGTCACTGTGGACCCAACCTGTTGGATGCTCCGTGTTTTGCAGATTCCTTACTTTACGCACCACAGTGTGAGGTACTTCTGGAACGACTCCCTCCAGAATTTTGACGTGTTAAAGTAAGTAACGTTTGTTCCCTTTGGCTCTAGATCAGATCACATCCTGAGGATTGTGTCAGACATAAAAGGAGTTTTCTATAATTATGTCCAAAAGTAGAGGCGACCCCTGCTGCCTTCTCCTCCCTTCCTGGCTGGGACCTGTAAAAAGACGCTTCAGGGATCGAGCGTTCTTGGAATTGGTTCCTTCTAGAGCCCTGTGGGAGTGGTTAGTGGCCAGGTGAGGAGGGAGCAGGCAGGGGTGTGGTGGCAGTGGGGGAATGCCAGATTGGTTGGTGCCTTGGTGCCTTGGTCTTGGAGGGCCCCCCGATTGTGACCTTCTGTTAAACTGTTTGAATGTGGCCTAGAAGAAGCAGAAGGTGTCTATGTGTCTGTCTGTCTGTCTCTCTATAAAATCATTCACAAATAGTAATGAAAATATTTATACTAGTGATTACAATGAACTGAGAAGTTAAAGGCATTTTAGGGGAAATGGAACTAGAATGATAAATCAGGCCTGATGTTACTTGAACAATGCTGCAGGGGAATCTAGAAAACAGCTCAGACCTTCCCCCTTGGAGGAGAATCCCTCCCGTAGGGTGGGTTTTTTGAATGTTTTGTTTTAAAATTGTAATTAATTAATTTCTTTACACATAATTGAAAGTGATGTTACAATACGTAAGTTATTTACTACTGTGCAGTGATGTATTGCAAAATAAATTATCTAGAAGGCAACAAAAGTACATTGTCATGTATGTAAAAACTGTACAGCATTATTATGCATGTATTTTTCAAGTTCTCTTTTAGCGTGGGAGTTCAGCTAAAGATTCCTATTTAGAATGGGATTCTTGCACTTTTTAACAAAGCACTAAAGAACTATGATATTTTCGGCTTGGATTAAAGCAAGAATTTCCTATTTCTTTAGGGGTCTGGACGAAGGTGTTTCTTGTACTTCAGTTTATGAACAGCACAGCTTAGGGCTGGCAAAGGAGACGCACGCCTACAGGTACAGAAAACCCCAGTGCCATTGAACGCGCCTGCCCACTCGTGTTTGTTCTCCCCCTCAGATGCTGATTTTCACATTAAGTTAGACGGCAGACCGTGCTAAGCTGCAGTTGGGATCAGTAAATTGATTTTGATTTTGGTAATAAATTGACAAATGGCCTTCAAGTATCGTTCTTCACTAAATACACTAAATTAATGGAATCTGTACTTTGAATACAGTTAAGACAGTATTTTAAAATGAAATAGGAATGTTTTCCAACAAAAATCCCTAGTGTCATAGCATTTTCTCCAAGAACTAAAGTTTAGCCTTCAACTCATTTAAACCTCTGGCTATAAGGGAAAGCTTTTATTTTTTTCTTGCAAATTGGGCATGACCTCAGCTACCTGTCCTTCAAGTTTCCTTTCTCTGACTGAGTACACGGTTCTAGTCCATATGACATTACTCGATTATGCAAGTGTGGTCATTTCATCTTTTGCCAGAAGTAGTCTATTTCTTTGACTTTAGATTAGGAGTAGAGTTTCTGGAGAATCTAGTTCTTGCCATTTGTCACGGAATGACAAGAAACAGCCTCGTTGTGTGGGCGCTGATCTCGTCCTAGAGCCTGATGCTTGTGTGTGGCCCCCCATCTGTCCTGCATTGTGCAGATGTGTGCCTCAGATTCTGAACATTGAAACCTAGGTAGGGGGGAAGGCCACAGTTTGCCCTAACACTTTGGCTTTTCTCCTCTGTTACACAGAAAACTGATGTATGGAATGAACGAGATCGCTGTCAAAGTGCCTTCTGTCCTTAAACTTCTGATTAAAGAGGTAAGGCTGCCTGCTGTTTGGTCTGGGCTCCACCCGTCCCCCATCCCATCGTCCAGCTTGCCTCTCCTGGGCCTGCTGTTTTCGGCTTCCATCTCCTGAGTGACCTTCTGGCCTCTCCCTGCTGGTACGTCTCTGGGCCTTTGGTTACTCTCTGTTTCCCAGGCTTAGAATTCTCCTGCTGAGGCTGGTCAGGGCCACTCACCTCCCTCGCCACTGCTGATCTTTCCCCCTTAGAGCAACTGTCTGTTCACTTGTCGCTCATGTGTCTTTGACGCACCTGTTTTCTATGCTGGGAATTGGAGTCACTTCTTTTTTTCACTCTACTGGACTGGACGTTCTGGGATGATTAGAGACCACATCTTATTCCCCCAAACTACCTGTTTCCTCCAGTGCCTCGCATTGATCCCTATAGAGAGCACTTGATGGTTCTTTGACTAAGTTGGGGTGGGTTGGATTGAAATCAGGTATGCTTTAGATGGTATTTCTACTTAAGAGCCGGAGATTTCCCATTAAGCTGTGCTTTCTTCGTATTTGATAGTCTAAATACATTCTTCTCTGTGTCTGCTGGGAAATATCGATTCGATTTTCAGAAGCAATGATTGTGATAAAATCACATCAGAAAACTGAAAGATGACTTGATTAATTTGTTTATCTTAATTAAAATAGATCCTTGCAAAATGCCACGTAACAATGCATACTATTTAAAACTTGACAGTGTTGGAGAGAATGAGAATCATAGAACTAGGTTGAATTTCTCCTAATGGGGTTCACAGATCAATCAGAATTGTCCACAATGGGAATTTCAGCTTTGCTAGATACTATATGAGTTAGTTAGTTGCTAAAAATCCAAAGATACACAAATTATTCCAACAGAAAAGGGTTCAAGCTTTAGTGATTTGGGGTTTTTTAGTGTTTTGTGCAAAAAAATGGGCATCATAAAAGACAAAAATGGTGGGGACTTAATAGAAGTAGAAGAGATTAAAAAGAGGTGGCAGGAATATACATAAGAACAAGATAAGAAGGGTTTTAATGTCACTGATAATCGTGATGGCTGGTCCCTGATCTAGAGCCAGACATCCTGGAGAATGAAGTCAAGCAGGCTGTAGGAAGCATTGCTAACAATAAGGCTGATTGATGGAGGTGATGGAATTCTGGCAGAGCTATTCAAAACTCTAAAAGATGGTGCTGTCAAAGTGCTGCACTCAATATGCCAGCAAATTTGGAAAACCGAACAGTGGCCACTGGATTGGAAAAGATCAGTTAATGTCCCAGTCCTAAAGAAAGGCAGTGCCAAGGAGTGTTCAAATTACCAAACAGTTGTGCCCATCTCACACGCCAGCAGGGTTATGCTTCAGACTCTGCAGGCAGTATGTGAACCAAGCATTACCAGAAGAGGCAGAGAAACTAGAGACCAAATTGCCAACATTCAACGGATTACGGAGAAAGTAAGAGAGTTCCAGAGACACATCTTCAGCTTCACTGACTACGCCGAAGCCTTTGACTGCGAGTGTCACAACAAGGCATGGCGTGTCCTCAAACAGTGGGCAGCACCAGATCATCTTATTGGTCTCCTGAGGAACCTCCTGAGACAACAAGCACCAGTGAGAACTGAACTTGGACAACTGATTAGTTTAAGATCGGGAGCTTATAAGTAGGGTACATCATGTGAAATGCCAAGCTAGTGAATCTAAAGCCAGAATTAAGGTTGCTGGGGAAAATATTAGCTCTCTTAGATATGCAGATGCTATTACTCTGAAGGCAGAAAGTGAAGAAGAAATAAACCTCTTGATGAGGGTGAAAGAGGAGAGTGTAAATGCTGGCTTGAAGCTTAACATCAAAAAAACTAAGATCTTGGCAACTGGTCTCATCACTTCCTGGCAAATCATAGGAGAAGAAATGGAAACAGTGTCAGATTTTATATTCTTGGAGCACCTTGGAAGGAAAGCTATGGCAGATCTGGACAGCAAATGAAAAAGCAGAGACATCACCTTGTTGACAAAGGTCCGTGTAATCAACACTGTAGTTTTTCCAGAAGCAGCATATGGCTGTGAGAGCTGGACTGTAAGGAAATCTGAGCACCACAGAACAGATGCTTTCAAATGGTGGTGCTGGAGAAGACTTTTGAGAGACTCTTGGACAGCAAGGAGATCAGATCAGTCAATACTTCAAGGAATTCATTCAGACCATTCACTGGAAGGACAAAATCTGAAGCTTAAATGCTTTGACCACATCATGAGAAGACGGGAACTCATTGAAAAAGAACTTGATGTTGGGAAAGAAAGAAGGAAAAAGGAAAAGGGGATGGCAGAGGATGAGATGGATGGATAATGTCATGGAAACAGTGCACTTGAGCTTGGACAGACGTGGGGAGATAGTGGAGGACAGAAGGGCCCCATGTGCTGTGGTCCATGGGGCCATGAACGACTGAACAGCAACACCAGAGTATCAGAAGTGTCCTCGGAGAGGCCAGAGGGAGAGGGGCGTGTGGCCCAATAGCCTGAGAAGTCCTGGACTTCACAGAGTTGGTGAAGGCAGGATGGCGCTTCTTTTCTTTGGAGGTTTTAGTTTTTGTAACTGGGGCTGCTTGGTCTCTTCTTCAATAACAGGAAAGAAAAAGAGGTTTTCTGCTTCTTTAATATACATTCTGTCAGTTTGGGATGGATTAATTCTAAGAAGTTCTGTTTAACCTCCATTCTCATTTCAGTCCTATCTGAAGAAGTGTCAGTCACAGAAGGCTGGGGGGAGGAGGCAGGTCCAGCCCAGAGCAGCATCAGGAAGCTCCTTGATCTTGAAGGCATCACCAACACCATCTTAGGGAAGAAGGACCAAACTCAGAAAAGTCACATCCCTGGCCCATGCTCACTCAGCTAGTAAATACTGTTCAGCATTGGAACCAGAGGGTCTTCTGACTCCACACTTCCACCCAGTGGTAGCTGATTGTAGCACAGTCTTCTTTGTTCAGCCTATTGAGAAATATCAGAAATGTTGGATTGTAGATCTTTCTATTAATTAAATACTAGATAGGGTTTTTTTTAATACTGTGATTAGAATTTGCTTTCCCTAGTGTATTATGGTGAAAAATTCAAAACTCAACCACTTGATTTCTATGGTCCCCTTCCAGTTATAGATTTATATAACTCTATGGAGAAATAGAGTGTGGGCTTAAAAAAAAATCTCATGTAGATGAAAAAAGCCCAATTAAAAGATTGTTAAAAACCAGCCCTATTTGGAAAGAGATCCTGGTCTCATCACTTTCTGGCAAATCATAGGAGAAGAAATGGAAACAGTGTCAGATTTTATATTCTTGGAGCACCTTGGAAGGAAAGCTATGGCAGATCTGGACAGCAAATAAAAAAGCAGAGACATCACCTTGTTGACAAAGGTCCACAGTGTAATCAACACTGTAGTTTTTCCAGAAGCAGCATATGGCTGCGAGAGCTGGACTGTAAGGAAATCTGAGCATCAGCTAAAAGAAGGTTTGGTGGTCTTGTTTTTTTAGAGATTTCCTCTAGTTAGCCCTGTTATAGCATGGTACTCCTCCAGGCTTCCAGTCTGATGTCACATGAACTGTCATTTCATTTCTTATGAGGGTTTGTTATGGGTGACACCCCCCCTCCCCTGGACACCTGCATGGAGTGGATTCAAATCTAGCCATTACCGTTGGAAAAGCTGCTGGAGCCAAATGTCCCTGTTGGGGATGCTGGGATGTTTCGTTTCCTTGCTCTCAACAACTGATTTGCTTCTTGGGAAATAGTGAACACCACAAAGTATTTTGTTGAGAAAATCAAGATAATGATGACCAGTTAAATGGGTAGCTTGGATGAGCATCTTCTCCAGCATTTTGAACAGATAACCCTGCCAGGAAAGCACAGCCAGAGCCCCTGTCAGCAGCTTGTGAGACCTTGGGCTGGTCATTTCATTTGGGGGTCTGCTTCTTCATGTATAAAATGGGTTAGTTATCAGCCCTTCTTCTCTTAATCAAACCACAGTCTTCCAATTCCACAAAAATAAGTCCAGTGGAAGTGGCAGGTGGTCATGGTTGTTGAGAATTTATTTATTAATATCGTTTGGAGGCTGATGAAGGTATTTTGCTGCCTGAGTTTTCCCTCCTCCCAGCTGTCTTTGAGCTATTGTTATTCTGGTGTTTTGGGGAAATTTTTATCCATTTATTTATTTTTAGTTTTCCACATTCCCTTCCATAAGCTTTTGAGTTTTACATTTTCTACCTCTGCTTCCCCTCTTTCCTCCCCAAGATGGCATGCAGTCTGATATAGGCTCTACTTATACATTCATATTAAACATACTTTCCCATTAGTCATGTTGTAGAGAAGAATTAGAACCAATAGGAGGAACCTCGAGAAAGAAGAAACAAAACAAAACACAGCAACAGCAGAAGAGCAAAGAGTCGGCTTCCGTCTGCCTTCAGACTCCATGGCTCTTTCTCTGGGTGTGGACGGCATTTTCCGTCATGAGGCCTTTGGAGATGTCTCAGATCCTGGCATTGCTGAGAAGAGCCAAGTCTGTCAAAGTTGGTCATTGCACAGTGTGATGTTACTGTGTACAACGTTCTCCTGGTTCTGCTCACTTCACTCAGCATCAGACCACATAAGTCTTTCCAGGTTTTTCTGAAGTCAGCCTGTTCGTCATTTCTTATAGTACAATAGTATTCCATTACATTCATATACCACAACTTGTTCAGTTCCCCAATTGATGGGCATCCCCTCAATTTCTAATTCTTGGCCACCACATAAAGAGCTGCTATAAACATTTTTGTACATGTGGGTCCATTTGTGTGATCTCTTTGAATTACAGCCCTAGAAGTGCTATTGCCGGGTCAAAGGGTATGCACATTTTTATAGCCCTTTGGGCATAGTTCCAAATTGCTCTCCAGAATGGTTGGATCAGTTCACAACTCCACCAACAATGTATTAGTATTCCAGTTTTCCCACATCTTCTCCAACATTTATCATTTTCCTGTTTTGTCATGTTGGCCAATCTGATAGGTGTGATGTGGTACCTCAGAATTGCTTTGATTTGCATTCTCTAATCAATAATGATTTAAATCCTAGAGACAGCATTTTGAAATGCCCCTGGAAGCATGGGGGCTCCCCCCTGATAAACATGTTGAAGTTCTTCTAGCTGAGCTTCCAAAGGGAAGGCGTGCCGGCCCCGACCCAGCCCCAGCCTGGTCAGGAGGGCGTTGGCATCGAGGACATTTCTGATGAGCTTTCCCTGTGTTGGTCTGTGGGAGTGGGTGCCCACGTGGATGGAGCATGGGCCAGGGCCCAGGGCCCGGCTGCTGTCCTGGCTTAACTTGCATCTTGCTTTTCAGGTTCTCAATCCCTTCTACATTTTCCAGCTGTTCAGTGTGATTCTGTGGTGCACAGATGAGTACTACTACTATGCCCTGGCCATCGTCATCATGTCTGTGCTCTCCATCATGAGCTCCTTATACACCATCAAGAAGGTGAGCGCGGGCCTTGGTTTCTGTGGTGGCTGCCCAGGAGATTACAGCCTTCTGGGATGACGTGTCATAGATCGAGCTCTTGGCAGTTGCCAAGACAGATGTTTGAGGGAGCTGTTCAGGGCCATTGAGGCAGGGCATAACCCCAGGGCCTCCTAATTCTAACCTGTTGTAAATCCCAGCTGTTGAGTTTCCATTAGCAAAGTCTAATGGGCGAGTCAAGTTTTTAGCATCTCTTTTCAATGTGAGAAAATTACAATGCGAGAATCTACAGTGATCTGGTTTGTAAATGCCTTTGTGCAAAAGCAAGGCTTTGGGCTCAAGGTGAGCTTGTCTAGTATAGGTGCTCTCTGTGCCGGGGTGGGGGGTGGGGGGGTGGGAGGGAAGTGGCCACAGCACTGCCAGAAGAGCCTGACCCTTTGGTATTGGGAGGATGCTCTCCTGTGTGCTGTTGGGGCCCCCAGAGGAGGAGGGTCTTTCTGGAGGCAGTGCCCAGCCTTTGGCGTTGGCTGTCATTTGTCGGGTTCTTAGGGTGTGAGTTTGTGTGAGATTGGGGTGGGGGGTCCCCTGGACCTCTGATGTCATTGGGGTATGTGTCACTTAATGATTGCAGCTCGGTGCCTCTTTAGGCGTTGATAGCTTCTCTGTGCTTCCTTGCAGCAATACGTCATGTTGCATGATATGGTGGCCGCTCACAGCACTGTGAGAGTGTCTGTCTGCAGAGTTGGTGGAGGTAGGTAGCCCAGGATGCGTCTGTCCCTTTGGGGGGGTCGAAGTGCAGAAGAATGAGTCCAGAAGTGAACCCCTAGGTACCTCCACCTATTGCAGATTCGTCTCTGACCATGACTTGGAGGCTGTTATGTCTGTCACACGCCCACTCGCCTGTGTGATTACTATGTACTGTACAGTGTTGATGGCTGCTTTTCAGATTGTAGAGTCAGACACATTCCTCTCAGCTCTCGGAATCCCTGTCATAAATGTTCTCACCAGACAGAGGTCACTCTTCTCCGTATGCTGGTCTGCTTGGTGATCAGGTGGCACTTCACAAGTTGTGTGGCCCAGCTGGGTGGTGGGCTCCTCAGATTTGTTGGGAAGGTTCCTGCAGAGGCAGCGGCAGTGGTACCGGTGTGGCAGACCTTTGGGTTCACTTTCACACGGGAGCCTGTGTGAGGAAATCTTGGTTCTCTTGGGTCTGGAGACTTGGGTATATTTGGTGGACTGGTTACTGCCTACATGAAGGCATCATTCTCTCTCCATGGGGCAGAATGAGGCTGTCACTTTGTTCCTTTCCTTTGCTAAGAGGTTATGGTAGGAGCTCTTTACCTTTCATGTGTCCCGAACCCCTCAAGTGTTTGACTGAAACCTTTGGATCCAGGAATTGTGGAATTTTTTTTCCCCCAAAAAAATAATAATTGAGGGAAAGGCTCAATTTCAGTTAGAGGTTAGTGAAGTTGAAGATGTCTTTTTTTTTTCTCAGCCAGTTTTATGAACTCTCTGAAATTTATTCAAGGATCCTTTGGTGGGGGCTGGGGGGTGTCCACAGACCCAGGGTGACCAACCCCTGAATTACAGAAGGCTAGTTTTTGTATTTGAGTTGCATTTGTACTTGAAGATGGTTCTCTGAGTAGCGGGAGCTAAAAGGGGTCTGGGGAGCTGTCGCAGACCAAGAAGCTCTTATGGCAGAAGGTCTGAGAAGCCTCTCAAGAGTGAGGCCTGAGGGAGAGCGTGTGCAAATGTGGAAGCTGCTCATTTCTGCACACAGTAAGCTCCTACTGTGTCCAGTGCTAGGCACTGGGGATAGAAAGAGAAGGACTTAGTCCGAGGAGTTGGGGGAGGGGCTGGTCTTGGGCTGGGGCGACCATTCCTGTAAGTCATCTCCACCCTCTTGAGGAAGGGCAGTGCATCATATGGATTTTTATTTTCCGTTGACATTCTTTCCCTGTAGTGTAGACGTTTTGTCCTCTCCTGCTTGTAAAAGCAGAGCTCTAATCCGGGTAGCACTCTGAACTAGACTCGCCTTCCCCTCCAGGTTGGCCATGGGCAGACTGCAAGCTCCTTATCCTCTGCTGTCCATCCTCTGTCACCGTCATTCATGCACAGGCAGATTATTCCTCCTGGTGGTCTCTGTGCCCTGGTTCAGGCAGGCAGATCATCTAGAACACCATGGCTGTTGCTCAATTACAGCTGTCCACGCATCACATATAAGCATGCCCTGGTGACATCCCTTCCATAGTATTCCTCGTGATCCCCTGACCTAACAGGACTTGGTGTTTCTATTTTTGCTACAACCCACTAGTGATGAGCACTGTGACGGCAGGGGCAGTGTGTGGTGAGCCCTCCTCCCTCTCCGTTGCCTTGCTGTTCATGGTTCTGAGGTAAAGCAGGCCTCCCCTCTTTCCCCCTGGAGCACTGACATCTGTCTGCTAGGCTAATTGGGCAAGGTCCTTTGGAAATAGAAACTATTTGCTGCTATATTATTGTTACTCCACGTAAAACAACATTGAAAAAGTCTCTGATCCTTTCAGAAATAGAAGAGATTTTTTCCACGGACCTCGTACCTGGAGACATCATGGTCATCCCGATGAATGGAACAGTCATGCCTTGTGATGCAGTCCTCATCAGTGGCACTTGTATTGTAAATGAGAGCATGCTTACAGGTAAACGAGATGGGAAATGATCTCGATGTGAGGGTCTTAGAGCAGGGCCAGGCAAAGTCTTCATGAAATAGAGTAGGATGAATATTTCACTTTTGCACTGTGACTTCAAGGGATTAACACGAGTAAGAGTTGACCTTGTAAAAATAACTGGCTCTGGTGAAATCAGTGGACCTCACCTAGGAATTATGGAAATGGAAAGAGCCGCGTGTTGAACTTGGATGAGAAGGGCCTTGGCTCTGGTGCGTGGCTCTTGTCGCTCTCGATGTGACCGGGGGGCCAGCCGTTTAAACTGCCCCAAGCTCCATTTCCTCTTTTCTAAGGTGGGACCAGTTTGGGTCATCCTCCCGGCCAGGCAGTTGTGAGGATCAAAGTACTGGGCATGTAAAGAAGTGCTCCGTCAGTGCTGGCATGGCCATTGGTCTTCCCCATAAGTTACCCCTTCTGCCATTTCGGCTTTGATGTGGCAGCAGATGGGCCTTGATCCTGGTTGGGGCCAGCTTTGGCTCCCACTGACAGCTTTTCCATCAGCTGGAGTCACTTAGGTGAAGTGAGGACTTTTACTTTGTCTAGTTGCTCCCCATGAAGGCGGAGGAGGGGAAGATGTATGTATGTTTAGTGATGTCACTGTTATTAGCAGTTAGGATGGTGAAATTATTGGCAGGTAAGAGACAACGATTTGAGATAAAACTTAGCTCTTTGGTTGTGGTTCTAGAATCATCAGCCTTTTTGTCAAGCTAAATTAGAGTCGCTCTGAAGTGCTCTGAAGGTTATTGAAAACAACACTTAATGTCTTTGAGGATTGTTTTTAAAATGCTTTCTGTGCTAAGGATTTACACTTTTGGTTTAAGGTGAAAGTGTTCCTGTAACAAAGACTAATTTGCCAAACCCTTCAGTGGATGTGAAAGGAATGGAAGATGAAATGTATAGCCCAGAACATCACAAACGGCACACTTTGTTTTGTGGGACCACGGTCATTCAGACTCGCTTCTACACCGGAGAACTTGTGAAAGCCGTCGTGGTCAGGACAGGTAGCCGGCCTTTCACGTAACTGCCAGGCCTACTTCAGGCTACTAAATATTTCCACGTGACAGGCCCTGGAGTAGCTGAGGCTGTGCTTCTGGATAGCCTAGAGAGATTTCCCTTTCTAAAAGAGAGATTATTGGCTTGGGTGCTTCATTTTCCCCTCATTCCTTCACTCCCTTTTGCCCACTTTCTGGCCTTGGAGTTAAGACTGTCAGGAGAGACTCAGTCCCTGGGTGTTCTGCCCTTTATGAAGCTACTGTACTTGCTGCTTACAAGGAGGGACGTGTGAAAACTTTGACTTTAGGAGCGAGTCCTTCAGGCATCATTGCCATTTGAATTAGGAAATGTTAGGGATGAACGGAAGAAAACTTGAGGATTATGGGGAGGGAATCATTGAGATGACGCCACGTCAGGAAACTTCGAAATAGCTAGCATGTGGCTGTTTCAGATCTGTGAGTGATATGTTTGGTTTTTTACCTGTGTGTGTGTGTGTGTGTACGTGTGTGTGTATTTTTATATAAAACACGTATCTGTGTGTAGCCTTTTGGCCATCATACAGATGTCTAGCCAGTTATGCCGACTCCATTCTAAACAAGGCAGATCGTTTCTCCTCCTGCTGTTTTCACCATTGATTCTGCTGGGTTCACTGGTTAAACATTCTGTCTCCAGGGTTTAGTACCTCGAAAGGCCAGCTTGTACGTTCCATCCTGTATCCCAAGCCAACGGATTTTAAACTCTACCGAGATGCCTACATGTTTCTGCTCTGTCTTGTGGTGGTGGCCGGCATTGGATTCATTTACACCATTGTCCATAGCGTCTTGAATAAGGTACGGGAGGGTTGGGCTGGGGCCTTGTTCATCTGTGGTGGGTGGGGGGCGGAGGTCAGAACTGCTCTCCCCAGTTAGGTTCAGTTGGTTTGATTTCCTCCTGGCCTTTCTCAAGAAACTGCTGACTAGGTCAAGCATTCATTGGCACGTGATGGAAACTGAATTAAGAAAGAGGATTGATTAGACTACCTCCTTGTACCAACAGAGCATCTGGGGCAGTTTGTTGACCCCCCCCAGTCTTTCTTTGCCCCACAAGAGGTCCCAGCTGGTGTTGCATGTCTTTTCCCTGGGCTAACTCTAGGTGTCAGCCAGTGTTATCATCATAGAATCTCTGGATATCATCACAATCACTGTGCCTCCTGCGCTTCCAGCTGCAATGACTGCTGGGATTGTGTATGCACAGAGGAGACTGAAAAAAATTGGGATCTTTTGCATTAGTCCTCAGCGGATAAACATCTGTGGACAGCTCAACCTGGTGTGTTTTGACAAGGTGAGGCCAATTTGATAGTTTTATATGTATTGTTTTTCTGTATTATAGCTTCAGATTTGATATTAAATGCAGTTTTAAATTCCTTTAATGAATTCTCCCCCCCTCCCCCCATTAGTGTATTTTTTTCCTCCTTCTGAGTATTTTTTGATCAGCCTTTCATTTTGAAAATTTTGCTGATATTTTGGCTCAATTGCTTTACGAAGCTCATAGATCTAGTTTGTTTTGGTGGGGGAGGTACTCCCCAACGAGTAGCCTCTCCCAAAGCCCCTCCTCAGGGTCAAGATGTACCCTTGTGGCAGCTGCTGGCTTCCAGAAGCCAGGCCAGTCGTGGAGATTGTCAGTTACTTTTATTTTTGGTGAATATCATCCTTGTTGAGGGAGAGAATTAGAGTTTCCAACCCATAGGGTTGTTTCCCCATGAATTTCCCTTGTGATCATGTCATGAACATTTCTGGTTGGCTCCCATTCCCGAGAATTGCTTGGAGCTTTTCTTTCCTCAGACTTGAGTGGGATCAACTTTTTTGTTCTGTGAAAAGAGTTTGACTGGGGGAGGTAGAGGTTTGCAAAAACTGAGTGTTCATGATCAGAATTCAGTGAGATCGAGGGAAGCTCCCACACAGCCGCCAAGGGCATGAGCATTGGTTAAGCTCCTGCTGTGTGCTGGGTTCTGTTCTGAGTGCAGGCCATACAATGCAAACAGAAAAGACAGTCCCTGCCCTCAAGGAGTGCCCATTCTAATGAGAGAAGATAATCCACAAGAGAGTTGTTGTAGAGTGTGTGGGGAGGAACTGAGTGATCAGAAGGGTCCAGAAGGCTGGGTGAAAGGATTGAAAAAATGACAAATCTTATGCCTCAGGAAGAAATTTTTTTGCCGGGACAAATTACTTTTCACTTTGGCCTCACGCTCTTCCCTTAGACCTTCTCTGATGAAGGGAGTTCTCACACAGGGAAATCCCAGATGCTAGGTCTAGTCCTTACCCAGAGCTGTGAGCACACATTCTCTCTGAAATGAAACTCATTCTTCAAGTTTTTCCAGGCTTTCACATAAGCAAAGTATTCTCATCTATCTCTGAGAAATAGTTAACAGATTATGGGAAGGGAACCTTACTGTGTCCTTAAGAAAATGTGTCATTATATAGGACCTAAACATGCATGCTCTTGAACTGGTACTCACATGGTTTATTAGACATTTCCCAGATTGCACTTTGTTTTTCAGACTGGAACGCTTACTGAAGATGGCTTAGACCTGTGGGGCATACAGAGAGTGGAAAACGCACAGTAAGAATTCATTAGATTTTGCACTTTGGGATTCTGTGTCTCATCTGATTATTCATCATATTGTAAAATAAAATGCATTTTTAGGCCTTTCGTGTTACCCGTTAAGGATTTTCAGGCCAGAGGAAGAGTAGAGTTTTTATAGAGAGAAAAGGTTACGTGGACAACCCGGTGTGGAATACGCTGGGCTTTAGCAGCCCGGCCAGCAGCCTGTCTCTCTGATGTAGGCCCCTCTGAGTAATCAGTCCTAGCTTTGGGTCCATCCCTCTGATGAAGACTGAGTAAAAGGGCATGAGAAGGGGGACATGCAAAGAGGTTCCCCAGAGTTTTCTGCTATCCAGATGTAAAGAACAATCAGAGCAGCCTTTGCCAATTCCTGGAGTGATGGTTTGCTGTGCCAGGCCTTTCTCACAGGTTGTGCCTTTTCAGTTTCCAAATGCCAGAGGAGAAAGCGTGCAGCGAGAGCCTGGTGAAATCGCAGTTTGTCGCTTGCATGGCCACCTGCCATTCCCTGACAAAAATTGAAGGTCTGCTTTCTGGTGACCCGCTTGATTTAAAGATGTTTGAAGCTATCGGATGGGTAAGTGCGGCCTTGCCTCCAACTGTTTGTTATGTGACCCTGAGCCAGGGGTGTCCTGACGGTTACTCCTTGTTGGTGGAATAAAATTTCCCCTTTTGGGTCTCTGGGCCTTTCGGAGGAGCACGCCCCAGGTGATGACATGTGTGTTTGGGAGGTCCCTGATTACGCTCTCTCCATGGCTGGCGCCTCGCGCCATCTCGCCAGCTGCGGGCCACCTTTCCCAGGCTTCTCTGGTTCTCTTCCTTGTCTTGGGTCAGGCCTTCTTCCCCTGGGATGGCAGCTCTATTTGCCTATGTTTTCCTTTGTTCTCCTATGTACTTGATGCATTTAAGAACGTGGTTCAGAGAGGGGTTCCCTTCTGGTCCCCAGACAAAGCCAGGATGAAGCAGACCTGCTCTTCATGGTCTCTGCCGTCCACGGCGCTAGCATTGCTCCCAGCCCTGCCTTGGAGATGGAAGAGCCCCTCGTTTGGTCTTTGAGCGCTGCCTCCTCTTCCTCTGTGCAGACATGTGTGGCTGTGGGAGGGCTGGGGTTTGTGCCTGGGAGCTCCTCAGGCCGCTCTCTGTGGTGGCTGGTGGGGGATTGAGGGAGGCTGTTTTTTCTCCTTCTTACTTTTCGGTGGAGTCCTTTACATCAGATTTGCAAAATCCTGGCAAATGCCTTCTTTCCAGGCCTGCTTAGTTAGGCTGTTTACGTACCAGCATCCTTTCATTCCTATTTTCCCTGTGGTGCAGAAAACCAAATGAAGTCCTTACAACTCTGTCTGTCTGTCTGTTTGTCTAACTCTCTGCTTTTTGTTTTTTCTTTTTTTTTTGCAGTGAACTTAAAACCAATAAACATTTTATTATACAGAGAGCAGAAGAGAGAATTTTTGAGACTGAAAACGTTGTTTTTGTTTTTTAAGCCAGACATCCTCTTTTCAGTGGCCAGCTGTTCACCTCCTCTAGTTACACAGATGGGTGTTAGCTCAGGACACCCCTGGTTTTGACTGAGGAGTGCGCAGGCTTTTATCGTCCCTGGGCTTCTAAGGCCTATTACACTGGAGGTCACATTCTCTGCTCTTCTCGCCTCTCTCCTCACGCTGCACCAGGCTCCTTGCTGGCTCTTTCCCAGGGGTTTCCTACCGCCAAGGGGCCTCTACCTCCGTGTGAATTAAAGCCCCTGCTCTGTAGATAGCAGATTTTAGGAAATCCTATTCACTTAAGAAATAGTGAAGTCTAGAAAAGCAATAGGCTTAAGCCTCCCTGTTTCTTATATTTAAAAAGAATTTGTTCATCTGGTCTCGGAGGGATAGAGAAAGGAACATACAAAGTTGTAGATGGTTGTTTGGGATGTCATCTCATCCTGCAGCCATTTGCTGGCGTTCCACCTCCCCTCTCCCAGCGCTGACCTCCTTCCAGTGAGGACAAGCCGTCGTGCCGAGGGTCTGCGTCAGACCTTCGTGGCAGCGGGGTTCGGCCCCCATGGAGAGGCCAGGCCGGGTCACTTTTATCCTCTCTTCTCTCTCTCCCCAGATTCTAGAAGAAGCGACTGAAGAAGAGACTGCGCTTCACAATCGGATCATGCCCACTGTTGTCCGTCCTCCAAAACAGCTTCTTCCTGAGCCCGAACCTGCAGCAAACCAGTCAATGGTAGGATGGCGGTACACGCTGGGCCGCCGCCTTGTGGGCTGTATTCACTTTGGCTGCTATTTGGGTGTTGTGTTAGAAACCCTTCCCTTCTACCTGTGCATCTGTCCTCAGTGAGTGAAGGACTGTTTAGCCTAGTGGAGCCTTTCAGCCTCTCCATGGTGGGAGTTCATCCTCTGGAGAGCTCGTGGCTCATACTTGGGTCCGCCACGTTGCCTGCCTCCCGTAGTTCCCATTCCTTACAGAGGGTGCACTCAGAAGTGAATCAGTGGGATAGAAATGACTGTTCAGCAGCTTTCTGACAATGAACGTCTGTGGCATAAGGTTCAAAGTAGGGAGATGCTTGCTGGGCCCAGGTATAGACTGCTGTGAAGGAGAGAGCCCATGCGGAGTCCAGGCCTACCCAGGACTTCCTGTCAGCACTGAGGCCCCTGCATGCTGAGTGCCTGGAGTCCCAGAGCATGCAGAGCCTCCTGCAAGAGATGTGTGATGGTGTTCCATCCTTCTGTCTGTCCAGGCCTGGCTGGGCCTGGGGGAGAAGGAGAGATGTCCTATCCCACTGGCTTCCTTAACCAGTTACCCGGTTGAGCCTTCTTGCATGGCTGCCTCCCCTCTCCTCCTCTCTCCTCCCTTCCAGCTATGCACTGCTGCCTATTGGACTCTCCCAGAGGCCGCACCCCGAGAGATGTTGGTGCCTTCCCTGACCTCCCTACTCAAACCCCATTCTCTGTCCCCTGCTGCCTGCTCCCTTCCTCCTTTCCCCCCCTTTCCTATCCCCAGACATCCCACTCTAAAACTGGACTGCCTGCCTCCAAGGTGACAGACTTGCTTTCATTTTCAACCTTTTCCTTTCTCATCTTCCCTCTTGGTGACACAGCCTCCACAGACACCTTTTTCCGCCCCCGTTACACTTTCCTCTTACCCACTCCCCAAGGAAGTGAAGGAGGCGGGATGCTCCCCCCTCCCCTCCCATCACATTTGGGGCTCGTGCCATCCGCGTTTACTGCCCCATCATAGTTCAGGTTGTTGTTGCCTGCTGACCTCCAGGGCACTCTCCTTTCCCCCAGGAGTCCAGTGCTTGGCGGGCGGTCTTCCTCTCATCCCTCTCTCTTGTCTTCCTACTTGGGAACGTGAGCAGTCATGCTGGCACTCTGCCTCCCCACTCCCCTGACCTCTCCATCACTCACCCGTGCCTGGCTTCCATGCTCATGAGCTCTGACCACAGTCTGTTGGCATTCCCCAGACCCTGGTCTTCATCCTTCCTGTGATCTCTAGGCTCTCTGCCTCTCATCACCACTCTCCCAGCTGCATTCTCCTTGCTCCTTCTTGACTCCGGGGGCTCCAGCTCAGCCCTCACACCGTCCTCTTCTCCCCAGTGCTTTGCCCCCTCATCCCATTGACCCTTGGGCCTTGCCACCCCCAGCCTTGGGTCACTCCCACCTTCCCAGGGCTGCTGAATGAGGTTGGGGCACAGTCACCGAACTGGGTCCTCAATCTGACAAGTCAGTCTTTTTATACTTCCTCGATTAACTTAGCCGGGGCAGTTAGGTGTTGCAGTGCAGAGCGCCAGGCCTGGAGTCAGGAAGACTCCTTCTGAGGTGAAATCCTGTCTCAGGCTCTGACTAGCTGTGTAACCCTGGGCACGTCACTTCACCCTGTTGGCCTCAGTTTCCTCATCTGCAAAATGAGCTGGAGTAGGTAGTGGTAAACCACTCTAGTATCCTTGCCAAGAAAACCCTAAATGGCTTCTTGAAGAGTCGGACGTGACAGCAAATGAAGAAACCATCCCTCCTTCTATAGCAGCTCTTGCACACCTTGTCATCCCTCCTCAGACCTCCCATGGCTCCCCTTTCCCCACGGTCCTAGCTGTCAGTGATCTTCCTAAAGCACAGGCCAGCCTGGCCCACCTCCCCCCACAGCCCCATTCAGTAAGCTCCTGAGCTCTTCTGCTCGGTGCTCAGAGCCTTCATCACCTACCCCCCTCCTGCCTTTGCCCTGACCCACTCTTGATCCCGAGACTGGCCTCCTGGCAGTCTCTTTCCTTCACTTTGTTCTTTCCCCTGGATACTGTTGTCTTCCCTCTGAGGGTAGCTCCCGTGTACCTTTGCCAGCTCTTGTTAGGAGTAGGTGGCACACAGTTGTGGCCATGGTGTCTCCCCTGCTGGACTGGGAGCTTCTCGAGGGCAGGAATTGGCTTTTGCCTTCCTTTGTTTCCCAGCACTTGGCACATACAGGGTGCTTGCTGACTGATACGCTGAGTGGATGAAGAGTCTTTGTTGCTCAAATTCCAGTGGGCCAGCAGGCTCTGACGTGTTGTGAGGAAGACCTGTGGCACCTTGGGAGCCCTGGGAGGGCTTGGGCCAGAGCTGTTCCCAGCCCCCACGTAGGGCTGGCTTGTGGTCAGCCTCACTGGAGGCTTCCTGGATGCCTGGCTACATTGCAGAGACAGGGAGTGAAAGTTCTAGGTATGAGACATTTTACCGCCAGCCCCCCTTAGCAACAAGTCTCAGTGGCCTGGCTCCTTTTTAAGTACCAAGAAAGGCTGGGCCTGGGTGGGCCCGGTTTGCTTTGTCTTCAGATTCACAGTCCCTCCCGATACTCCCCAAATGAAGAATGTTTGTAACCTTTAGGGTGGCACTCGCACTCCAGTAATGTCTGATTTTTCTCTTTCTCTTTTCAGGAGCTTTTCGAGCTTTCTGTAAGTGTCGTCTCTATGCTTCCTTTCTTCCTGAGTCATTTATTTGGGGGTTGGGGGAGTGGGGGTGGCTGCTGTGGCTGTGGGGTGATGCCCACCGTGTATTTCTCACAGGCCAACTATGAGATAGGAATTGTTCGGCAGTTTCCATTTTCTTCTGCCTTGCAACGAATGAGTGTGGTGGCCCGAATTCTGGGGGACAAAAAGATGGACGCATACATGAAGGGGGCCCCGGAGGTCATCGCCAGCCTTTGTAAACCAGAGACAGGTAAGGCGTGAGTGCGGTGGGGCGAGAAGCCCAGGGCCGGCTCTCAGTTGGACGAACACCAAAGCCTCTGGTTTTCTTTCAGTTCCCAGTGACTTTGAAAAAGTGTTAGAAGACTACACGAAGCAGGGCTTCCGGGTGATCGCTCTGGCACACCGAAAACTGGAATCCAAGCTGGCGTGGCACAAGATCCAGAATGTTAATAGGCGAGAGGCTTGGGGGTTTCGCTGTTGGTGAGGGGTATTTTTGCTGGGGCCAATTTAGCGTATATGACAGCCTGTTTTCTTGTAAATGCTGAGGTTGAGGTGGAAAGGCCTATCTTTGACCATAGATTTCCTGGGGGCCCCTTCCTGGGGGCCTTCTGCTGGCTCCCCCACTGTGGGGAGTCCACCTCTTGCCTTGGCATTGGAGGCGTCCCCTGTGCCTGTAGGTGCTCTCAGCTTCATCTCTGGCATGACCACGCCCTCTCCCACCACCTTCTGTTCATTTTGTGTGTGTTCTCCCGCTATTTCATTTGTTTTTATATTCCTCCCATGTCACACGGTGCCTGATGGATGTGAGAGAAATGATGTGTCTTCATTTGCTGGATTGGGGCTTTTTCAGCCTCTCCAGCTTCCATGAGGTCTTGTGCCTCAGCCAAGGAAAATAATTTAAATGTAAACTACAGCAAGGCAAAAGGGCTGTGTGTGTGTGTGTGTGTTTGTGTGTGTGTGTTCTTTGTGGCTCAGCGGCTCTAGTAGGTTCCCTTCTCATCTCTGGGCAGTTGTCTAGGTCTCTCTTGAGCTCACCATCTCCCTCATCATGCTCATGTTGTACATATGGGAAGGGCCATTCAAATGAGGATCTTTAAATATATCAGTGAGTGAACCCAGGGACGGTGAAGACAGCAGAAAGAGAGGAAGTGACTGGTCCAGAGACAGTGCCCCAGGAGAAAGGGAGGGGATGAGAAGAGAGTCCAAATAGGGGCACCAAGGCGAAGGGAACGTGGTGGCTGGGAGAAAGGAGAAGAGGGAGGGAGGCTCATGGCTGAGAGCAGTGAGTCAGCCAGTTGGTGTAGTCAGTGACTTGTGCCTGCCAGCGCTGGGTAAGGGCTGCCTGCTGCAATTTGCCTCCATCCATTCCTTCAGCTTTCCCTTACTTCACCGTGGTCTGCGGGCTGGTTTACATCTCTGTTGCTCTCTCCCTTCTGCTTGGCCTCTTTGCAGCTATCAATAGTGGCAACCATCCCGCCCTACCTTTCCTGATCTGCTGGGAGAGGGTTCTCTCTTGGTTTGTATGTTTTCAGTATCCTTTGTGAGATCATCCTATGTCTTCCCCAAGGCTTGGCCTTTTTATCTTTTTTGTCTGTATTTATCTCCCGTGAATTCTATTATCTCTGTACTAGCATCTCTGCATATCTCTCCACACCTCTATTCTAACCACTCCCAAACAGCTGCCTCCTTCATGTCGTGGGGGCATCTGCAAGTTAAACATTCCAACCATACGACTTCACTCTTTCCATACTTTCTCATACAATCACTTGCCAGATGTTATTGATTCTAATTGGACAGCATCTTTCTCAGCCCTCTTCATCAGTCAGTCAGTAAACATTTATTAAGTGACTGCTCTGTGGAATTCAGCAAAAACTATTTATAGAGCAAAAATGTCAATATGGACTTGTTTTATAAGCACATGGAAGCTCCTCAAGGAGTTCACAGTCTAATGAAGGAGAATAGCAAATCATCAAATAGGCACAAAGCAAGCTTGGTTATAGGATAAATAGGAAATAATCTTAATTCGAATTAAGAGGGGGTAGAAAAGGCTTCCTGTAGAAGTTGAGATTTTAATTGGAACGTAAAGGGAGGGAAGCCAGGAGGTGGAGATAAGGAGGGGAGAGCATTTCAGGCAGCGGAGATGGCCAGAAAATGGCCAGAGATGAGAGATGGAAGATCTTGTTGGTGGAACAGCCAGGGGGCCAGGGTCACTGGATCAGAGAATATGGGAGTAGGGGGAGGGAATAAGATGTAAGGAGACTGGAATGGGTGGGCGGGTTATGAAAGGCTTTGAATGTCAAGTAGAGGATTTTGTATTTGATCTTGGAGGTTATAGTGAGTCACTGGGGTAGGGACCCTATTCCCCCCCCCCCCCCCCACAGCGGCTGTTGCCATACTCCAGGTATGAAGTGAGGAAGGTCTCTACCCTGATGGGGGCAGGGTGTCAGAGGAAAGAAGGGAGGGTATTGGAGAGATGCTGCAGAGATGAAATGGACCAGAGGTGCTGCAGAGGTGAAGTTGACAAGCCTTGGCCACTGCTCGGATATAGAGGGCGAGACAGTGAAGGGTCCAGAATGATTCCTAAGTTGTGAGCCAGAGGGTCTAGAAGGAGGGCATTGCCTTCCATATAGTAACAGGGAAGGTAAGAGTAGGTGGGGGATATCTTCGTGAGAAAGAATGAGTTTTGTTTTGGACACATTGAAAGTTTAAGATGTCTACTGGATCTCCAGTTTGAGATGTCTAAAAAGCAATTGGAGATGTAAGGATGGAGATCAACAGAGAGGTTAGGGGGAAGGTAGGTAAATTTGTAAATCATCAGTATAGAGATGGTAATTAAACCCATGTGAGCTGATGAGATCAAGCAAAGTAGTCTAGAGGGAGAAGAGAAGAGGGCCCAAGACAGAACCCTGAGGGATACCTGTGGTTAGAGGGCATGACCTTGAAGGAGGATCCAGCAAAGGAGTGGTCAGAGAGGGAGGTGGAGAACCAGGAGAGAGTGGGGAGTCCCAAAAACCTAGAGAGAAGAGAGGGTGATCGACCGAGTCAAAGGGGGCAGCCAGGTTGAGGAGAATGAGGATTGAGAAAAGGCCTTTGGATTCCACAAGAGATCACTGGTGACTTTGGAGAGAAATTTCAGTGGAATGACAAGATCAGAAGCCAGACTGTAAGAAGTTAAGCAGAGGGAGAGGAGAGACAGTGAGTGGAGGGGCCTAGTGTAAACGCCTTCTCAAAGAGTTTAGCCACAAAAGGCATATAAGATATAGGACAAGAGTTAGCTGGTATGAAAAGATCCAAGAGAGGGTTTTATCAGGATGAGGGAGACTCAGGCATGTTTGTGGACTGTAGGGAAGGAGTCAGCAGAGAGACAGAGAGAGACATTGAAGGTCAGTGAAAGTGGGGATGACAGAGGGGGCCCTGTTGGAGGAGACAAGGTGGAAGGGGGGGATCACTTGTGCTGTTAGAGGTTAGCCTTAGTAGGGAATGAGGCACGTCATCATGTGAGACGGGGAGAAGGACAGGACATAGAAGGAGGAGCTCATGGTGAGTAGCCTCTTTTTTTTATATAAAGTATGAGGCAAGGATCTCCACTGAGACAGTGGTGGGGGGGAGAGGGCCATGGAGGAGGGATGAGGAGGTTTGGAAGAGCCTCAGAGGAGAGCTGGTTAGTGAGCTAATTAGGCAGGGCTAAAAGGATGTCTCACAGCAGTGAGAGCCCACTGAGGTCATGTAACATAAACATGTGGTGGACCCCATCAGAAGAGCAGGGTGTGTGTCTCTGTGTCTGTGTATGAAGGACCCAAAGCTGAGGCTTGGATGGGCGTAGTCAGGAATGTGATGGGGGAGGTGAGGTATTCAAGAGAGGAGGATGGTGTGGAATGGAACTGGTGTTCACCAAAGGGAGAAGAGGAGAGTGGTGAGTGCAGGGGAGATGGCCTGGGAGGAGAACAGAGGGACCAAGGGTGTGGAGGTCCTGATGGTGACAGTAGGGTTGTGTAAGGAAGGGCTGAGGAAGAGGTTGCAGGCCATTAGATGCTGGTTGGATAAGGGAGCCCCAAACTGCAGCTCCTCAGTGTCTCCTTTCTGAGTGTGTCAGATAAAACCGCAAACTCTTCTTTGGTATGCGAAGCCCTCCCCCTTCCCCGAAGTCTGTCTCCAGCCTGACATTTACTGTCCCCCTTGTACCCGCAGACTCGGTTACCCCTCGGCATTCCCCTACATCCCTGGTCATCCTCATCATTAATGATGTCCATATGGTACTTTTACTGTATATGTATGTTTATAGTATGGTCTCATTTGATGCTCGAAACAACCCTGGGAAGTAGCTGCCATTGTTATCCTCATTTTACAGATGAAGGAACTGAGGCCGGCTGGTTAAGTGACTTTGCTCATGGTCACACAGCAAGCTAGTGCCTAAGAATAAATGTGAATTGGGGTTTTCTTGACTCCAGGTTCAGCACTCACTCTGTCTGCCTGCCTGCTCCCCATGGCAGGAATGTTCTCCTCCCTCCCACCTGCCCCAGCTCCTTAGCCACCCCCTTCCCACCTCATCCAGGCAGCAGTGCAGGCCTCTAGCCCCCAGCCCCAGGGAGCCCATGGCATGGATACTTCCCCTCCCTTCCCCTGAAGACAAGCTTCTAACAGCACCCTCCCTGACACTCCTCCCTCCACAGGATGAGGCCCTCCCTCTTTTGGCTCCTTCCTCGCTGTTCCTTCTCTCCACTCACGTGGCCCCCTAGACTAGGAGCTCCTAATTTAATGAGCAAACTGTGTCCCCAACCTGAGGAACCCCTCTTAGCCTTCCCCTTCAAGCATTCTGTGCTCTTCCTGCTCGGGAATGCTTCTCACCTCGCTTCACCTCACCTCTTAGAATCACTGCATTCTTCAGAACTCAGCTCAGGTGTGCAGGCGAGGCCTTGCCTAGAGCCTTCCTTTCCCTCCACATCTCCTGTCGACCCCGCCCCAGTAGAACAGGAGGCCCATTTTCTTCCTTTGTCTCCCCACCCCCATGGCTCACCCTAGTGCTGGCGGTGATCCATGGAGGGTGAGCTCCAGAAGAGAGAGAGAGACTCCTCCGAGTGTCCAGGCAGTAGGTGCCTAATTAGACATTCAGTCCATCTCTTATGAACGTGATAGTCATCAGCAAAGCAGAACATTTCATAATAGAGCCAAGAAGTGAATTCACAGGAGACTCAGCTATTTCCAGTTTCCTTTGAAAGTGATTATTCTTGTAATGTGGTAGGTGTACCATGGCCTTTGTTGTTTGAAGCGTTTTACTGAGGCGCTCTGCTTTCTTTCTGCCCCCTCACTCCCCATTCTCTCCCCGTGTACTCAGCTCACTGACCGTGGCACACTGTGTGTCTCGCCAGCCTTTTCAGGTGTTCATCTCCATCCGTGCATACGTTTGCTTGTATGACCAAGTATTTTCATTGATTTAATACTTGGACAGTTCTCAGTCGATTCACTCTCTGTGCCTGCCCGAGTGCTCCTGTCCCCTCCTCCAATGGTTGTCACTGCCCATTGGCATCCACGACTTCCTTCTGACCTTGTGCCTCGATCTCCCCATTTGTTTGCACTGTCTCCTTCTTAGAGGGCTGGCATTGCTGTTTTACATAATTCTGTATTTTCTCATGTTACACACGTTCATTTCACATTGATAAGATGGAGACTTGTGGGGGACCCAGGCCATGTTCCTTTGTCTGTCTCCATCCCAGGGCCTTGCATGGACCAAGGTTTAATACTGGGTGCTGCTTTCTTGATTTGTTAGGGACAAGAGCAAGTAAATCTAATGAGCACCTTGCATTTTACAGAGATGCCATTGAAAGCAACATGGATTTTATGGGATTAATTATAATGCAAAACAAATTGAAACAAGAAACCCCTGCTGTACTTGAAGATTTGCGTAAAGCCAACATTCGTACGGTCATGGTCACAGGTGAGCTGATTGCCCAGAGCTTTGGCGCAAGGCCATTCCACTTTCCCAGGATTCTTTTGCTCTGCCCTGCTGGTTTTCCCTTTAGTCAAGATCAGAATCTTCCTCTGAGAAACTGCTGCTTCGTTCTGGTCTGGATAGTGAAGGCCCGCCATAGCACTCACATTTCTGCTCTGCAGGCTCGATGAGGCACGTTGAGAAGCCTGAGGCTGTTGTTAGGTGTGGATGGCCTACAATGCCATCATTGGAAGGCATTTCCCAGTCTGGGCATTGCCAGGGAAGGCCATTTGAGTATTTGATAAAGAGATGATGATGATGATACACTCGTCACATTGGTCTCTCCTCATTTCAACATAAACATTACACATATGAGGAGAACAAAGGAAGGCCTGAGAATATTGGGAATTATAGGAAGACAGAGCACAACTTAAGAATGTGGTCTAAAGGCCTTTGAGATGAAAAGATTCGGATGTTTCTGGCCTTAGTGCCCTGGTTCCTTTTTCTCATGGAGTGGGGTGGTCATTCTTGATGTGGAGGGAGGAGTTAAAGCTTCTGGAGGGCAGGCATTGCCTTGTCTATACAGTCGATGTTTATTTAGCCGGTAGAGAAGCAGGTCGGCATTTCCATTTCAGCTTGACTTTTATGTTTTGGTGACTAGGCGACAATATGTTAACTGCTATCTCCGTGGCCAGAGACTGTGGAATGATTCTACCTCAGGATAAAGTGATTATTGCGGATGGACTACCTCCCAAGGATGGACAAGTGGCCAAAATAAATTGGCATTATGCAGACACTCTAACCACAAAATGCACTAGCTCTCCAGAGATCGACTCTGAGGTGATTGCCAGATGAAGGCTTGTTGACGAGGATCGTTTCGGATCCTGGTCTGTCAGTGTATAGGGGGAAAATCCCACACCCTACTTACTTTTCAGTAGGTCAGTTAGCCTTGGTTATTTATTTTCCTTTAAAGCGTAATCCTTTTTTATCTGGAAAACTAGGACTACTTTTATTTTTTTTTCTTGTTTATTCATTTATTTATTTTTAAATTTTTTTTGTTTTTAAAATTTATTTTAAAATTACATATAAAAACATTTTTTAACATTCGTTTTTAAAACTGAGTTCCAAATTCTTTCCCTTCCTCCGTCCTCTCCCCCTCATTGAGAAGGCAAAGAGTTTGATGTAGGTTATACATGTGTAGTCATACAAAACACTTCCATATCCATAGTAGTCATATTGTGAAAGAAAACATAGACAAAAAAAACCCTCGAGAAAATAAAGTAAAAAAAGTCTGCTTCAGTCTGCATTCAGACACCGTCCCCGTCAGTTCTTTGTCTGGGGACATCTAGCATTTTTCATCCTACGTCCTTCAGAGTTGTCTTGGACTGTTGCATTGCTGAGAACAGCTAAGTCATTCCCAGCTGATCATCGCACAATACTGCTGTTTTTTTGTACACAGTACATGTCACTTTGCATCAGCCCATGCAAGTCTTTCCAGGATTTTCTGAGAGCATCCTGCTCGTCATGAACTCAGGTCCTCCTGACTCCAGGGCTGGTGCTCTATACACTGTGCCACCTAGCAGCCCCTTCGTCATTTCTTATAACACAGTAGTATTCCATCACAATCACGTATCACAACCTGTTCAGCCATCCCAAGTTGATGGGCCTCCCTTCAGTTTCAGTTCTTTGCCACCAGAAAAGAGCTGCTATAAACTTTTTTGTACACAGAAGCCCTTTCCCTCTTTTTTTTTAACCTCTTGGGCTACAGACCTAGCAGTGGTATTGCTGGGTCACAGGGTATGCATGGTCTTATAGTCCTTTGGGCATAATTCAGAGTACTTTTAGAGACTGTTGTTGGAGGTCCAGTTGGGCAGAGCTTTCCTGTCGGTCAGGTTTTTTCCATTGGTGACTGAGCATTGTTTGACTGTGCAGGATATCCCCATCAAGTTGGCCCACGACAGTTTAGAGGATCTTCAGATGGCCCACTATCATTTTGCAATGAACGGAAAGTCATTTTCTGTGATACTGGAGCACTTTCAGGACCTGGTGCCCAAGGTGAGTGCCCTGTGTGTGGGTGCATGTGGCATGGGCGTACATTTGTAGGGGGTACAGCCAGAGACTTCTAAGAAACCTGTTTCTTCCAGCTGGTGTTGCATGGTACCGTGTTCGCACGCATGGCCCCTGATCAGAAGACGCAGCTGGTCGAAGCATTGCAGAGTGTGGAGTGAGTAAGCCTGGCTTTTTAAACCTGTGGGATTGTGGAGCCCTCCGTTGCCCCAGATTACATTTATGGAGCGCTCTGGAAAGTGGAATTCTTTTCATTTGGTCGCTTTTATTTAACTAGGAAAAAAACTTGTTACTTTTTGTTTCAGTTTGTGGAGAAATTGCCTTTATTCCTCTAAGAATATTTCAGGAAAGAACAGCAGTGTGATTTGTACATATTTTCACATGCTTGAGTTTGGCCACTGTGGGTTTGTAACATGTCCAGATTTACTTTTTTGCTTTAAAAGCAGTTTTTGTTCAGCTCTGCAGTGTAGTATGGTGCCTGCACGCAGTAGGCCCTTCACGAGGGTGTATGGAGTCCTTGAGGAGGAAGGGGCTGAACCTGAACAGGTGCCCCTCACCCCGCAGGGGTCCCACATGACAAGCAGCAGGCGTGGCGTGGCACTGGGGCCTGCTCTCTGCTGCCCCCCCCCCAGGGCCCCCTTCGGTGGGACTGCTTGATCCTCCCTTGGTGGGGCACGTGACTCTGGAGAGCCGATGGGCCCTGGCAATGGATCCCAGAGCTTGGGAGGGCTGTGTGGGAGAGAACGCCCTGCCGGCTATAGAGGCGGCAGAATTCTGTGTTTTTGTTGTAGTTACTACGTGGGAATGTGCGGTGACGGTGCCAATGATTGTGGGGTAAGTGTCTGTTCACTGTGTGTGGAGCTGCCTTAAGTTAGGCTTCTGCCTCCTAACAACCCAACTGACTGGTCTTCTCCTGCTGGCCAGGCCTTGAAGAAGGCCCATGGAGGCATATCCCTGTCTGAGCTCGAGGCTTCCGTGGCATCCCCCTTCACCTCGAGGACCCCTAGTATTGCTTGTGTGCCAAACCTCATTAGGTGAGTGTGGCTCTTCTCCTGAGTCTTTGCCCCAGGGAGAGTGATGCGGGGAGGGTCGAGGCCCAGCTATTCCTGCTCCCTGAAGGGCACCCAGTTTATCTGGGCCCCTGGGGTGGTGCGGGGAGGGTTGAGCCCCCGCGAGGGGCTTTTTTTCCCATGCAGGTGTTCTTTCTCTTCCTTTCACAGGGAAGGCCGGGCGGCTTTGATAACTTCCTTCTGCGTATTTAAATTCATGGCTTTGTACAGCATCATCCAGTATTGCAGCGTGACTTTGCTGTACTCGGTGAGTGGCCGAACTGGGGCAGGATGGCGTGTCCAAACGTCAGCATGAGCGGCTGGGTGTTGGGGGAGCAGGCTTGGAGCGTGAAAGTTTTTATTATCCTCTGTCTCCTCTTGGGAGCACAGATTGGGCCCCCGACCCTTAATGTGTCATTTTACTAAAGCTGAGGCCAATTAAATAGGGGGAGAGTGGGAAAGAGGCTTCCTGCCTGCCCACTGCCCTGTGCACTCACCATCTGGTTAGCACAAGTGGGACTCTGTCTGTGGAAACAGCACCATGGAGAAAAGGTGAAATGCTGGGGCGTGTTTCCGAGCTTTGTGTGAGATGTCCCTCCTTTTATTCACCCTGGTCACTAGTTGGCAGGGGATACCCAGAATTGTGGGGGCACATGCGGTAAACCCTGAGGGAAATGTCTGTGTGGGCGAGTGCCACGCTGTGTTGGAGTTATGGCTCCCCAAATAGCGATTCTTTTAGTAGAGGAAAATGGTGTCCTTTCCAGACCCTCCTTCCCAGACCATTATCTTAGTGACAAAGGTGATACATATAGCATACAGAGCATACCAGCTTTAGTCTGGTAACCCTGTGTAAGTGGTTGGGCTTTGTGTATGTTTTTTTTGACAAGATATTTTAATCAAAAGTTGGGAGATTTATTTCTAGTGTGTCCACTTGAATGCTTCTACTTTATGCGGTTTATGTATTATCTTGTTATACTTCAAGTGACATTTGATTTTGGCCATTCAAATCTAAGATTCATTTTAAGTTTGTAGATCAATATGTAAGAATAACTGTGCCTGTTTTTGATTTTATTGGGCGTATGGCAATGTTATTGATTACAAACAATCTAAAAATGATTTCCTTAGATCCTGAGTAATTTAGGAGATTTCCAGTTCCTTTTCATTGATCTGGCCATCATCTTGGTAGTGGTGTTTACAAGTGAGTATTTATTCTTATTTTTAAAAAAACCTTGAATTATATACTTTATTAAAATTATTTTCTAAATGAAGCTATTGCCAATTTTAAGATTGAAGTAAGATGTAGAAACAGTGACTTGGCTGTTTGCCCCAGCCCGATGCTGGCACCTGGACATGCCGCTCTTTCCTTTGCAGTTTTAGACTTGTCTTGGAAGCCCCTCCCACTTCCACACTCCAGAAATCTCCTCCATTCCAGCGAGGCCTCCCTCGTGGCTCTTGGCCTTGCAGCCCCTCTCTCAGCTCATGCTCAAGTGTCAGCCTTGTGACTCTGCCCCTGTCCCTGTGCCCCTTCTCCCTCAGCCTTTGCCCATCTGCTGGCTTCTGCTCTGCCATCTATGAACATCCCCTCATTTCCTTGGGGCTCCCTTCCCCGGATCCCACCATTTCCTCCAGCCGAGTTCTCAGCACTCTCACTTCTTCTCCCTTCCTTCCGTCCCTCATCATCCTTCTTGACCTCTCGGTCACCTTGGAGGCTGCTGATCACGCCTGCCTGCCCACTCTCAGTCTCTTTTTCTCAATTCTCCCTTGAAGCTCGATCCTGGGCCCTCTTTCTGTCCCGTCTCAGTTGGCCTTGTTATCTCTGTCCTGGTGAGTTCCGCAGCTGTCTGTCTGGCCTCGGTCTCTCTCCTGATCACCGACGGCCTTGTGGGCTGACTTCCCTGGGTAGGCCAGGATGCTCTGTCCAGAGCAGAGTGGGTGGTCCTCCCCCATTTCCTTCTTCCAGCACCGTCTGCCAGGCCCCTGGGCCTGCATCTGGGCTCTCATCGTCAACGATTCTTTTACCCCAGACATCCAATTCATTGAAGAGAAGGGAGCAGAATAAGCCCTCTTACAAATAGGATCTCCTTGGGAGGTAGGTGCTGCCTACTTGCCAGTGGGGGAAACTGAGACAGACAGTGAGCAGCTCGGTGCTTCAGCCAGAAGTATTGGAGGCTGCGTTGGACCACGGGGCCCAGCGCTCTGGGCACTGTGCCGCCAGTCGGTACTGTCATTTCAGCCTTTGCACCATTGTGGGCGTTTCTCTCTTCTCCACTCACATGGCCATCCCCATTCCCGGGGGCCCAGCACGCCAAGGCACTGGTCTGGGTGCCCAGGCACCTTCTGCACCTGCAGCCAGGGAGCAGCTTCTTTTCCTCTGCTCTCCTGCCTTTATTTCCCAGTGTGTCCGGGCGTGGGGAAACACCCCTCAGAGCTCTGGGAGCTTCTCTTGAGAGCATCTTGACCAGAAATAATGTCCCAGCTTAATGTTTTCCGTTCCTTCCCACAGTGAGCTTAAATCCTGCCTGGAAGGAGCTCGTTGCCCAAAGACCACCCTCAGGCCTCATCTCTGGGGCTCTCCTGTTCTCGGTCCTGTCTCAGATCATCATTTCCATCGGCTTCCAATGTTTGGGCTTTTTTTGGGTTAGACAGCAGCCTTGGTATGAACATTGGACTCCACATTCAGAGTAAGTTGACCCATGATTTTAAAATATACCTTAAGATGGTAATTGGATATAAATGGCCCCTAAATTTGCTGCTTCTGTTCTTCCCGTCTTCTCCTCTCCAACATCTTCCCCCACCCCCCAACCAAAAAAAAAAAAAAGAATCCTACTGCAGAAGAGGTTTCCATGTAATACAGTTGGTGGACTTTGGCCAATGTCTCCCTTGTGAAACGGGATGTTCATTACGACAGTTTTAGTGGCTAGCACCCTGCCCCGCAATTGGTATAGTCTTCTGTGTTTCCTGTAATGGAGTCTTCCTTGTCCCTCTTTCTGCCTGTTTCCCTGATCCAGGCTCAAGGTGACTGGCTAGCTTCTCATTTATCGAGACAAAAAGCTTTTGTTAAAAACAAAACAGTTATCCTAGAAAATGGCAAAAGTGCTGAACATCGTCAGTTCATGACCTACAGGTTATTCTTCCAACATTGCCTTACAATGAATGAATGAAATTGTGCTGTGTTTTACTGTGTATATTAACGGGTGCCACGTGATGCCCCTCCTGTTCAGCCCCGGGTCATGGGGCTCCCTGCTCCAGGGCAGACACATATGAGGGAGCGAGAAGGTTGTGACCTTGGCTAGTTCTCTCTTAGTGTCCCTTGTCTTTGGTCTCTGTTGGCCCCATGCTGAACTGCCTCACAGCCAGCACCGCTTCATTCATTTCTTCGCATGCTTCCCATTGCCCTTCGTGGGGACACTGAGCTTTGAGTTGGTTTTCTGAGAGCTGACATTCAGGACAGACATGAGACCTTGGGGCGGAGCCATCATGTGTAAAAGACTTCCCAGGATGTGTTTGCCATGACCCTCCTGGGTTAGCCTTGTGACTTTTTCTTTGTACCTGTGACTGTTGAATCACAACATGCATGATTTTATAAAGAAGTGGACATTTTTCATGCACTTGACTCCAGGGCTCCCCCTTTCTGCCTCTCTGGATTTCAGACTTGCCTTCAACAGATTGTTTATATCCTGTCCTGCCACTGAGAAGCCAACAGTTTTTTCATAGATGAATCCCACCTCCTTCAGGCAGACTCAGGACCAGAATGTCACCGAGAGGGTCTTTGGTTTCTTAGGGTAGTGACTTTAGCCTCGATGGTTGGGCGGGGTCTTTGAGCCTCACCAAGGCCAAGGGTGCCCTTGGCCAATGGTGAGTCCAGTTGGACATTTTTCACCCTCTTTTATCCTTAGAGTAGATGCTGCACCTGTGCTGTGTGTCATTGAGGCTTGAAGAAGATTGTCTTGCAGCTTCTTGGCCTGGGCCAAGGGAGAGCTTCACAGCCCTCCCCGGGGCAGGCGGGTGGGATGGTCCCCAGCCTCAGGTGGTGGGGGCTGTGTGAGGGATCACGCTGAGAATGGCGGTGTCTCGTCTTCTGTTGCAGTGCGTGTAACCTGTCCAGGAGCTTCTCTTCCAACTCATCCCACTCTGGCAATGAGACTGAACATGACGAGCACAACATAAAAAATTATGAAAATACCACCGTGTTTTTTATCTCCTGCTTCCAGTACCTGATTGTGGCCATCGCTTTTTCTAAAGGAAAGCCTTTCAGGCAGCCCTGCTTCAAGAATGGTGAGTTCAAGCAAAAGCTGCTCCCTGCTCTTCCCAGGCTGTCCACTCCTGTCTCGGCTGGGCCCTCGTCTTAAAACAAGATGGGCCATCCTCGGGACATGCTGTGCAATTTCCCTGTCCTTTGGTTCTTTAGCTCTTGGGATCCCCGGGACCTCCATTCCTTTCTCTGCCAGGGATGCAGTGGGAGAGAGACAGAGGCAGGTGAGAGAGGACAGATGTACGTCAGGCCGGCTGGGCCTGCAGGGGGGCTTAGAAGGTCATCAGCATGACCTCTGGGGGCTAAGAACCCCAGTTTTCTGGGTAGTTGAGGCATTTAGGGCTAATGATGTAGATAGTAAGCTCGTTGTCTAATAGAGCAGAGGGATCTCATTAATATTTGGGTTTAGAAAATGCTGTTTGTATTATCAGTGGTAAGAATATTGCTGATTGTATACAGAGAGTCAGATTTTCAGAGAACAGGAACATAGGCGTGAAACTTTGTTCATCTCTGATTCAGAAGGTCCTTCCAGACTCAAGAGTGCCCTGGGAGGGGACGCAGAGGGAGGTGTTCTGGCTGATCTCACTGGTAGGGGTCCTCAGCTGTAGGCCCTTCCAGGGCTAAAATCTCTGGTCCAGTGATAAAATGCTAAAGGTCGGAGAGATCCCAGGCCCCTGGCCCTGGCCTGGCCTGTTTGTCAGAGGGAATGTTGGGAGACATGGAAAGGTTTCTTTAAGCTTTCAAGTGCTGAGTCAGGGAGCCTTCATTAAGGGCCAGCTGTGTGCAGGCAGAGGAGGGGAGGGGAAGCACCAACTCTCTAGGGGCTGGTTAGAGACAGCCTCCGAGGGGAAGCACGGCCTGGGCTGTCTGGGAAGGCTTCTTAGAAGAGGGGGCCTCTCTTAGGCTTTCTGGCCATGGGGAGCAGGGAGAAGTCTAGTTCTTGGATTGGGGAAACAAGGGATAGGAAGCCAGGGTAAAGGGCGTCTGAAGCCCCGGATTGTTTCATGTTTGATCCTGGAGACAAGAGGGGAACTGCTGGAACTTGTCGATGAGGGGAATGACATGGGCATGGCGATATGGAAGTGAGCAGAAGATGGGCTGGAGGCAGGTAGACCCAGCAGCCATTGTTGCCACAGTCCAGATTGAGGGAAGCAGGGTCTGCCCCAGGAGAGAAGGGGGTGTGTTTGATGGCAGAATCGACAGAGTGCAGCAGCCGATGGGATCCTGGTCTGTGCCCTGTTACAAGCATGCTCAGCATCACTCTGGGTGTGCTGGGGGATGCCAGAGCGTGCAGAACACTGGGCCGAGAGGCCGAAAGACCAGTGTTCCCATCCGGCGTCAGGTACTTACTGGCTGGGTGACCCTGAACAAGTCACCTCACCTCCATCTGTCTCAGTTTCCTCATCTATAAAATGGAGATAATAATAGCACCCGCCTCTCAGGGTTGTTGTGAAGATTAAATGAGATACTACCTGTAAGGCACGCAGCAGGCGCTGTATAAATGCTTATTCCCTCCCCCACACCCACCCCCAGTTTGAAGGAAACTAATGTTTCTAAGAGGTGAAGAGGAAGAAAATTCCAGGTGTGGCCAGTGCCCCTCAGGTGTGAGAAGTAGCAGGCAGGTTGGTTTGGCCCTGGGGGCTTGCCAAGGGGGTGATATCTGCTGAGCCTGGGAAGGCAGTCAGGAACCAGGGTGGGAAGGGCTTCCCTCTGTTGGTGATGCCAGTGGTGCGTTGCCATGTTGACCTGCTGCCTGGCGGTGGTGGGTTGGCCGTGGCAGTCCTGTCTCCTCTCTCCTCTCTTTGTGTCTCCTTCATGATGCCAGTTATCTTCTTATGTGCTGTAGGCCTGACCTAGACAGGACCCAGCCACAGTGAGGTCAGGCCACCATCTTGAATCGTTCCACGAAAACCCCTCCATTAAGCTTGCCTTTGAACTAGCTTCTCCTTTTAACAGGTCCTTTGAGATTTCACAAATCAAGGAGATTGGGCAGAGGGGTTTATTTGGGCCGGTTGGTGAGGTTGGCTGTCGCATCTGGAGCGTTCAGTTTGATCTAATATTTGGCATTTTTGTCACTGGTGGAATTTATCAGTATCAAAAGAGCTCAAATCTGACGTAATAATACAGATTTTGTCTCATCACACAAAACCTGTTCTTTTCATAAGTTGCTTTGCTCATTTATTACGTGTTGGGAAAATGCCGGTAGCTTTATTACAAATAGCAAACATCCTGGGTCTGTCTGAGTTTGTGAAGGCTTTAGAACCTATGCCTGCTGTCCTGAATGAGGCCTACAGTGCCCTGCCCCCCAGTGGACAGACGTACGTATTGTGAGTGAACGTGGAGAGAACATGCTGTCTGTGATCTCACCAGCAACGGGCAGGCTTAAGACGTTAAAATGGAAGCTGTTGAGCGTCTGGAGGGACCGATGGTGTGGTGAACCTGCCTGAAGCAAACTGTTAACCAAACACTGGTTTTCTTTTTCAGGCTTTTTTGTTGTGTCTGTGATTATTTTGTATATCTTCATATTTTTCATCATGTTGCATCCTGTTGCCTATATTGACCAGGTTCTTGAGGTAAGAGTTCATGTCTTTGTCACAAAACCCTTTCCTGAATGTTCATAGTGGTGACTAGGTTAGGCACAAGCCAGTAGACAGGAGGGCCCCCGACTCCACGGCTGACCATCCTCTGTGGGAAGCAAACAGCCAGCAGCTGCTCCCTTCAGCTAGGCCTTAAGAATCCTGGCCCTTTTCTGGCCCTTTGGTGCTTGGCTCGGCAGCAGAGACGCTCCTGCCCTCCTTTATCTGCCAACAGCCCTTTGGGACCCCAGGGAGGACGTTCTCCTTTCTGCTGGAGTATTACAGTACAGTACAGAAGGACCAGACCAGGACGGTTCAGAAAACAGAAGGTGCGGCTGTTGTCTGGTCCCAGCCTGAGCTGGTTAGAAAAGTTCTGTTTCAGGATTCCAGTTTTCACTTGTGGTGTGAAGCCCGTGTTGGGGGAGGAGCTAAGGGATGCAGATGCTCAGGTGTGACCTGGTTCTTGGACTGATTGTTAGGAAACTCATGGAAACCAGCTTCCAGTCTTGCAGTGATTACCAAACACAGTCATTACAAAGAGAGGATTTTTCCTGTCCTTTCCTTCATTCAAGATTTCTGAGTTCATACTCTTGTGCCCATGGCATTAGTGAGGTGCTGGGCCTACTTTCCCTGTGACATGTTGGGGAGACAAAGGGGCCTCGGGCGGGGTTGACTTGTAATTTTGCTGCCGGTGAGCTGAGAGGAGCCTTGGTGTTTCTAGGCAGGCCCACCCCTAGCAGGATTGTCAGCCGTCTGTTCCACCAGAGGAAGGGATTTACTTGGAACCTAATGTTTTAATTCCCTTAGAAATCTATCTTCAAACCAAATGTGTCTGTTCTAGTTTTAATTCAGCACTTCAGCTGAATAAATGTTTCTGTTAACACCTACCTTGTATATGCAGGGAGCCCTGCAAGGTGTAGCTAAAGCCGTGAAAACATACAGAGACACACAGACACACAGACACACACACACACACACACACACACACACACACACACACACAGACACCCCCCCCCAGTGTAATGTGGACTTCTGGGATCGTGTCTTCTAGATCGTCTGTGTTCCGTATCAGTGGCGTATCACGATGCTCATCATCGTTCTCTTCAACGCGCTCGTGTCTGTCTTGGCAGAGGTAAGTAAGTCGCTTCTCAGGTGTCCCCTAACTGCTTTGGGGTTTGGTGCTGCTTGATTTAGCCTGATGAACCAGGGCAGTAGGAAAGGAGGGGACCGGGAGACGGCTAGAGGAAGCTCCCCGGGAGATTTCGCAGATTCCTTTCCCTCTTAGTTTCCGACTCTCTTCCCAGGAGGCCTTTTACAAGAGCTGCTGGTGACCTTGTTGCCCAGGTATGGCCCACCCCTCTCCCCGCCAGCTCCTCCCATCTCATCCTCTCCCAGAGTTCCTCATAAGAAGTGAGACCTCCCAAGGGTTGGAGGTGGGGGATGCCGAGTGCGGGGGCAGTTTCAGTAATCTAGAGTTAGACATTTTTCTCTAGAAGTCAGCAGTTACACTTTTCTGGAGATGAGGAGGAAATGTTGCCAATAGCAAGAAAATATAAATGAGAGTGTTTTTTGTTTAATCATGTTTTTATACAGTAAACACAAATACATTACAAAGTGGCTTTTTGGTCACTTTCCCCAGAGCCTAGTAGAGGACTGGTCTCCTTCCTGCTCATGATTTTCTGGGGTGTGGACTTAAGTTCTCCTCTGGGGATGAGAGCAGAGGCTGCAGAGCTTTGCACCAGACAGTGCAGCTCATTTCTACATTAGCAACAGACAGTTGGAAGTGGAGAGACGTGCCAATGGGAATGGATTTCCCAGTCTGTCCCTTAATGAACTGCTGTCAGAACATTGGGCAAGGGGCAGCTAGGTGGCACAGTGGATAGAGCACTGGCCCTGGATTCAGGAGGACCTGAGTTCAAATCCAGCCTCAGACACATAACACTTACTAGCTGTGTGACCCTGGGCAAGTCACTTAACTCCATTGCCTAGCTAAAAAAAAAAAAAAAGAACATTGGGCAGCGTGTCCTACACTCCTTCTGCCCTCTGAAAAGATGGCTTCTCGCAGTCAGGGCCACCCTTAGCCTTGGGGCCTGGGGGAGTGGGTCTTTTGGAAGCTTTGCTCATTTGTGGTTGGTGTGGGGGCGTGCCCTTCTCGGGGTTTCTGGAGGCAGCAAAACCAGAAAAAGAGAAACTTCCAAATCAGGGACGTCAGCCCCCGATAGAAATAGGGTCCCCACGGGCCGCACGCTAGCTTGGTTTTAAAATGTAATGTTATCTGTGTTTTATTATTGTTAAGGATTTCCCCGTTTCATTGTAATCTGGTTCTGGCCACGCACTACTGTTGGGGGCTGCATCTTTGCACCCTCTGTATGAAATTGTGATTTTTTTTCTTTCTCCCCAGCTTCTGTTTATTTCCTTGTGAAATTTAACAAAATGTTCAAGGAGTCCTTTCTGGTTGCTATTTTTTTTTTAAATTTCAGAGTAAAAAAGATATTTATGGTGAGGTATAGTGGAAAGAATGCTGGCTGAACTTGGAATCGGGAAAGGCCTAGATGCAAATTCCACCTCAGATACTTAGATCTCTGGGTCCCTGGCTAATGACTTCATTTCTCAGTCTCCATTATCCCATCTATAAAATGGACACAGTCATGCCAGTATCACCCCCCTCCCAGGTGGTTGTGATTATCAAGGAAGATCCTGGGTATAAAGTACTTTACAAACCCTTGTCCTGTGTTGATGCCCGTCCTGGGGCTCAGCCCAGGTGACCAAATCCAGACCACAGCATCTCCCAGAGAGGGCCCGAGGCACTGCGATGGTGGCCACTCCTAGCTGAGCTCCCAAAGGGTGCCCTTAGCATTATTCTCATTCTCACCTGTTCTGCTGCACTGTGTTGAGATTTGTGTCATGTCCACCTGACTAAGGAATGATTGTTAGTCCTTTTTCGTTCTTCCACCCACCGGAATGTGTCTCAGAGCTTCCTCCTGGACACGGTCCTTTGGAAGGTTGCGTTCAATCGAGACAAACAAGGAGAATATCGCCTCAGCACCACACAGCCGCCACAGGTTGGGAATCACCACTTACTGTCCAGGCTCTTGTGTGTCCTGTGCATTCTGGGTGGGGGGAGGGCTGGTGGGGGTGGGGGTGGCGTGGGGGGGATCGTCTTCCCTTCCATCTGCCATCTTTCCTCTCCATTGTGATACCCCAGACATGCATCGATGTGTTTTGGCGTCCATGCGTCTCTTCTCCTTTCCAAACCTCAGTGTTTTGTCAAGTTCTTAGTTTCAGTCGTGAGATTTATTTCTTCTATTTTTAGTTTTGTTTGTTTGTTTGTTTGTTTTGAGAAATTGAAATTTGTTCCTCGGGTCTCTGATTCTGAGACAGTGCTTCTTACAATTTCTTTTCCATTTGGCCTCAATTCTGTGTCTAAAACTCAGTAAGCAAAACCATTGCCTTGGGGAAGGATGTGTATGGAAATAGCTCTGGATAGCAAATAGTTTTTATTTTTACTTATCTCAGGAGCCTTGAGAACCTAATTAAGTGATAGTCTTGCCTGCGTTTGTCCATTCCCTCCCGCACAGATAACCTATTTCACACATGACAGTGGCTTGGGGAGTGTCAGTCCTAAACTGACCATTTTCTCCTAAAACTCTGTTGACCTGTAGGGGGACTCTCAAGTATCCACATTCCTTCTGAACTATTGCAGATCCATCCCTCGATCCATCCCAGGCCACCCAGCCTGGACATTAGTGCCGTGATCTGGGCTTCCTTTCCAGATTTCACGCTACTTTACAGGGGGTCCAGCTGGGCATCTTCCCCTTCCCCCTCCCATCCCTTTTGAAGTGAGCTTTGTACCTCACCCACCTTGGCCCCCTTGCCCCAGATGGGCTTTAAAGAATCCACAGAGGCTAGTAGTTAGGTATTTAGGATGAGGCTCCAAGTCCCCAGATCTGGGAACTGAGTTCCTCTGCTCTCCTGCTTTGAGTTTTTACCACGTTTTTCTTCTGTGTAACTTTGTCAGAAGACTAGTATGTTGGTCTGAGCCCTGGCGGAAGCTCTGACATATTTTACATACAAGTACACACGCACATACACGCATACATCCATGTACATAGACACATGCACACACATTCCAACTGCACCAGTTATAGGTCTCGTCCAGGTTTTCCACAGCCTGTATTTGGAGAAAGCTATGTTTGGACCAGTCAGGCGTGCTTAGCGATCCAGAGGGTTCCTTATTGGTAAAAGCTGTAGCCATTTTGTGATCTCTTACATTAGGTTTAGGAAACACTGAAACCTCAATCCACCAGAGTTTCCAGAGGAAATACTCAAGTATCTGCTGGTCAGACTTAGCATCGAAGAGCTCTTTAAAGCATTGCTGGTTAGGCCCCTGCCTGCCCCCCTAAATAGGAGGGGACTTGGCATGTTTGTTTCCTTAGAAGAGAGTGTCTGAATATCTCCTCAGGTCAAAGGAGCAAACCCCCCCCCCCCACGCACCCCTTGAGCGCGCCTACGCTCATGCACTCAAACACCACCACCACCACCACCACCACCACCAATACCAATGAGGCTTTTTGACTAATTATTTTGACAGCAAACACACTGTCACTTTTTGAAACGATTTTGTTTACTTTCTGTTTTCCCCAGTTTTATTGCTATCTGATTGGTAATAACTTGGTCCTTAAATGATTCTTTAAGAATTTATTAATTATTATCAGTAATCCTTAATGATCACTTTATCTAATCATGAATTGATTTAACTGTTAGCTATTCATTCTTATCAATAGCATAGTATTTCCTTCATGGATAAAGAACAGAAAATGTCGGGGCAGGGGTCCGAAGGCATACGGCCTGCCTGAGTCAGCACTTACCTTAGAGTGCAAAGTGATTGTGAAGGCCACACGAGTGACCTTTGCCACCCACTTTTCAGAATCGCAGCCCAGGCTCTGATACTGAATGCAACGTCAGGTCTGTGGACGATGTGGAGACGGAGCTTTGGTGTATTGACACTTACATGTGCATGTTCGTCTTATGGCAACGCTTTGGTTTTGTTATCCTTCTATTGCAAGCCGCTCCATGAGCCGTGGCCATCTGGGGAGGGGTGAGGCTTCTCGTGTAGCTGTTGGGCCTAGCCTGCTGCCTCAATCCCAGCGAGTGTGGCTGGCTCTTCCTGGCCTTGCATCTGGAGATCATCCTGGAGGGAGACCCCCCCATTGTTTCCATTTCACCCACAGGAGCCAAGAGCTGGGCTTCCTGGCCTGTGGAGGACTGGAAACTGGGGAGCCTCAGTCCCTAAGTGGAGAAGGTGCAGACATATTGTCTGGGGTTCCCCCTGCTGGCTGCTCGAAGATGTGCAAATGCATCCACTGAGCCTCCTGCATGTTGGCATTCCAAAAGGGACCCAGGGCCCACTTCCGAACTGTCCGCCTTCACATTCTCGGGATTCCCGCCAGTGAGTGCTGTCTTTTTAGGGGAACGTCAGCATTCACACAATGTTCATTTAAATTCTAGCAAACTGGATTTTTGCTCAGCCACATCCTAAATCATTTCAAGTTGGGCCAGTGCATTCTTGATGATGCTTTATCTCTGCTTCTGTGGAGAGCTAGGTGGTGTTTGTCAAGCTGCTCGCCCCTTTGGGCCTCAGTTTCCTCATTTGCAGAATGAGATTGCCCTTGAGGGGGATCTGATGGTAAACTGAGCATTTGTTAACTCTGAAGACTGTCTCGCTGACTGGCAGCGCATTACTGCAGTTACTCCGTCTCCCCGCGTTGGCGCCATCAGGGAGAGGCAACATCGTCGTGGATTTGTGGTTGGCTTACACTCAGGAGCAGCTTGTGCTAATCAGAATAGGAATCATCTGCATTCATGGAGAGTTGGCAGTCAGAATAAAGGCTCTTCCTATTCTCTGCTTACGTATGTTAATTTTGGGGCTTTAGAAAATATTTAGTATTGATACAGAAGACTTGGAAAAAGCAGTGTCATTAAAATCCATTCCTAATGCGTGATAGTGGCTGTGTAATCTCTGGCGCCACTCATAGGCTTGTTTCTAAAGTGGTCATGGCCAAAAGTAGGGAGGTCTCTTGGGTCCGGGGTACAAAGGAGGGAGCCAGTCGGGGCGGGCATTTCCGAAGAGGCCGAGGGGCATCTGGCATTGTCAGCACCAGGCCAGCTTGCTCACCTTTTGGACCGGCTGCTCAGAAATGCCCTTTGGGACACAGCTTTGGACCTCATGCCTGTGGTGCGTCTTCTGCTCTCTTGCCTTGCAGTCATCACTCCGCTCCTTCCCCTTCTTCTCTCCATTGTGTCTGTGAAGTGTTGCCACTTTGTGATTTCTGTGTTTGCTTGGAGGCCCTTAGCATAGAAGCCTTTTTTTTTTCTTTTGGTTACTCCATTCTTTGTGTATGTGGTTTTTTTGGGAAGGTGAAGAGACATTGTATCAAACAATTGAAACAATTTAACTTGGTTCTTATACTTGTCTGAGCATTCATTTTGAAATTGTGCTTGAAAGCATGGCATGAGCATTGTTTTTACTAATTCGAATTGCTTTAAGCTCCCTTTTGAAAAAGCAGTTTCCCTCAGTTCTAGCAGCTGGGTGCACTCAAACCCCTAGAGAAGGCGTGTTTGCTTTCTTATCACAGATCCCTCCTCACAGAAAGCGCTGACAGCTGTCAGCCTTGGGTTTGTCCGTCCTTGCAGCAGTTTCTCACCTCCTGCAGGATCTGTGATCTCTGCACGCTGAAAAGAGTGCAAGGGGATGGTTTCTTTTTTAGGTTTGATTTCTAATGACAAATTCTCCTTTTCAGTTCTTAGTCATATTGTAAAACTTGCTCATATAATCCCTTCTCCTCTTTGCTTTTTCCTGCTTCACTCCACCTTCCATTCATCTCCCCTCTAAAAAATTTATCCGTGTAGAGGCTAGAGGTGAGTAAGCTCCCCCCCCAAAAAAAAAACTGGTTCTAACACAGAACTTTACAATGTGGGTTTGGTGTTACTGGGTTGGAAGTGTGAATTCCCAAATCAAGAACAACCCACCAAATTAAAAAAAAAATTAAACACTGTCCAGATCCAAATCTGGGTCCTTTCTCCTCCCCACTGTCAATGTCATTATCATTCCTGACTTTTTCAATTATCCAGGTTCCCCAGAATCAGCAGATTCAAAAGTGAGGGTTCATTTGATTATACTTAGAGTTTGATAGCCAATCTTTTCTCATTAGTAGGCCTCTTTTAGGCTAATCTGTGTTGGAATTCATTTGGATTTCTTGAATACATAACTAACAGACAGCTCTTGACAACCCTTGAAATGCCATATTACGTGTTGGCCACAGATAGTCTGTAAAATGTTATCAGTGTCTCAAACTGTGCCTGTGACCTTTGACATCTGCCAGGAAGGCCCTAGCCATCCTCTTTGTGAGCTGGCTGCCTTACCTGGTGCTTTTCTGTCCTTTTCCTCTAAGGAAGGACCTTGAATCTTCTGGGGCCAGTTCCTTGAAGCTTCACATTTATTAATGCCACACTGACTATTTATTTAGCACTTAGTATGTGCCACACAGTGAGGAGACGAGCAAAAAGAAGAGTCCTTTCTCTCTAGGCACTTGCAGTCTAGTGGAGGGGTCACTGGGAAAAAATTGTGTCCAGTGTGTGCAAACGATATGGACCAAATGAACTGGGGAAGGCCCTTCCACATAGAATGATTCAGAGGAATGCCCCTGGTGAATCCCCTGTGCCCTCTCCGCCCCCTCCTGTGGACCCTTTGAGGGAGAAGTTATCTCATCAGTTCTTTCTGTTGGGGTTTTCCCAGGGCCAGGGGAAGGCTTTGGTACTATATCAGGAAGGCAGATAGATATGCCAGGGGGCCACTAATAAAAGGAAAGTGCCTCCTCCTCCTTGACTGTGCATTTCATGGAGTGCGTCCGTTTGGCATCTTAGTAATGCTAGTGATTCAGGATTGTTTTCAGCTAATTGGCAGAATGTTAAGTGTTTGGCAAAGGCACTTTTTGAGAAAGATAGGAATCATTTATGCCTTTACAAGGAATTTCTCTTACATAGAAAGGTGAGGCGCTCTCCCAGAGAACTCTTGGTAACAGAGGCCATTAAACCCATTCGTCACCCTGACCATTCATTGCCAGCATCACCAGCTTTGGGGGGAGGGGGAAGGGGAAACAGGCTGCCACCAATATGGAAAATCTGTCCTCTCTCCCTAAGGCGTTGAGGGGACGCTCATTTTTCTGAAATGAGTTTTGGTCGTTGGGGGCCTCTTCCTTCTATTTCTTGGTCACTCTCAGAGCTGAATGTGGCCCAGATGGAACTCTTTAGCTGAGAATATGTTAAAAGCTGGTGTTTTAACATTGCTCTTGTATGTTATTTTCCTCCTCTCTTTCTCAGGAGTCAGTGGACCGTTGGGGAAAGTGCTGCATATCATCGGTGCTTGGCTGTAGGAAGAAGCCTCCCAAGGCCAAGTACATGCATCTGGCCCAGGAGCTGCTGGTTGACCCCGAGTGGCCTCCAAAGCCCAGCACAACCACAGAAGCCAAAGCCTTAGTCAAGGAGAATGGATCCTGTCAAGTCATCACTGTCACGTAACAGCGACTCTTGATGGCTTGCCCTCGAGCGGCGTTGGGGGGTGGAGGGGACTTCCTGGCAACATGTGCGGAACGTAGGCTCCTTGGGGCGATTCGGTTGGAGCTTTGGTAAAAGTCGGGGGGGTGTTTAAGTCCTGTATTCTCAGCCAGTGACTTTCAGTCAGGCCTCGTCACGCTCACCGTCCCATCTTGGATGCTGAAGTGATGGGGGGTGCTGCTGTCGGTGGGGAGGCGGGGCGTGGGGGTTTGTGCTGTTACCGAGGCTGCTGGCCCGCTCCTGACTCAGTGGGGCCTCTTGCAGAGTCGTGTCCATTTAAACCTCGGCCACGTAGGAGGTGCCTCTACTTTGTTGCTCCTCACAGCTGTTAGGTCGATCTGGCCTCTGGCCGCGGCAGCAGCTGCCTCCATGCTTCCCCTCCCTGGCCCGCTTGAGCGAGCGTTTGGTGTCAGTGACGCTTCGTTCTGCATCTTTCCTTCCTGTCTACCTATCTGTCAAAGGATGAGACAATGAGGACCTGAGACAATTTGGTCCTGATCTTTTTGATATTAAATCTCAGACTTGCAAGGTTTGCCCCAATGGGTGAGGGGCTAAAAGCTCACCTGACCCGGCAGTTCTTGTAGCCACGTGCTTGGCAGCTGGCATGATGTGGCCATGAGGTGGCAGCAGTGGTCACGAAGGATGAAAGGGCTGGTGTGAGAGAAGGTGATCCCCCAGACCGGTTCTGAGCCCAAGGAGCTCAGCTCCTAGGGAGCAGAAGACGTGCTTGATGGAGCGTGTCGATGGCCCTGGATGGGGCAGGTGAGGTCAGCTGTGAATCTGGTGCATGTGTGGCTCTCCACCTCGTGAGGTCCCTCTTCTCCCTGGGACAGCAGAACCAGATGTTCTCGTTCCAACCTCTCCTTCCGGTGACGTTGATGAAGGAGAGAAGGTGGCCGGGGCCACCTGGGCCCACTGTTGCTGATGTGGCCACTGATGAGTTTTCCGTAGGAGAGATAATGGAATAGGAATACACTTCTGATTACTTTTTGTAAAGATTTGTTCCATGGAGTGATTCTACGAAGCTATCTATGCATCTTAGACCTTTGGAGCTGTGATTTCGCACGGGTTGTTTTCATTTCTCATTGTCTTAATCCTTTCTTCACTTGTTGTAGGTACCCACGTGCCTGGGCACCCCTAAAGAACAGGCCCTGATGCTTTTCCAAATCCTTCCTTTATTTTGGGGTTCGTGTGCTGCAGTGTTTAATTACACGGGGATGGCTCTGAAGCAGCGGGAAAGTGCTGGTCCTCCAATCCCACCAAACACCTTTGAACGCAAGTGTGTCTCGGCTGTTTTGAAGCCCCCCTTTTTTCATATGCTGGGGTGTAGGAGGTTTTCTATCGCGTCTGCCCATGTTGTTTTCCCAGGAAGACATAGTTTGTAGCTCTGTGGAAGAAGCTTTGGAGGAAGTTAGCTCTGACCATCGGATGTGTGTTCATTCGTAGGCTGTAACTGGTGGCTTCCAGAATGTGGAGAAGTGTTTGTTGTGAATTCAGGTGGGCCCTGCTGTGTGCCCTCGATAGAGATGTCCTTTCTACTGTGTGGGTCGCCATTACATAGAAATTTTGATTCTGAATTTCATATTAAATTATTTGAGTGTATACATACCTAAAATTTAACATCTGTACATGTCTTATTTTGATGTAATAAGATTTTATAAATATTGTGGATTTAAATTTTATTTATGCACATACTGAAGGGACTGGGATGTCCAAGAAAGTAATTGTTAAATAATGATATATAACTTTTTAACTTTTTTAATAAATAACCAGATTTTTAAAGTGTGTCCCTCAGGGTTGTTGAAAGGTTCCTTACCCCTCTTGCCCTTTGCCCCTCCCTCCCAAGTAGAATTGATGATAACTGTATGTTTTCTATTCTCAACTACTGTCTGCTGCGAAAACAGTGCTGCAAATAATGTTGGCATCAAAGTGGCCAAGCCAAGGACAAAGGCAGTGATGCTTTTCATGTTCCCTTTGAAACCCTTCTCTTAAAGCACTCTTTCCAAGACACTTTGATTGGAGCAAAAGTGTTCCCATTTTCATTCTGTTTAGTTTTATTTGTTTTCCCTTATTTATAGAAAGCTCTGAGTTGTTAAAGCATGGTAAATAATAATTTAATACGTTTGTACGCTGTGTTCCCCAAGCCATCATTACATGCAGTGTCCAGACAGGATTAGAATTCAGACTTTGGAAAACACTCTAGGATTTTGTGCATGCACTGTTGATATTGTAACCTAGATTTTGTATATTTTGGGGGGAGGGAGGGTGGTTTTGAACACTTTTTAAAATTCTGGATGTTAATTTTGTACAGTTTATGGGCATTTACAACTATTTTTAATGTACTAGAATTTGATAATTATGTGCACATGAAATTAATAGAATAAAGTTATTTCCTGTTAGATTGCAGAATTCCCTGAAAACTTGGCTTAAACAAGAAAGTTGGTTTATATCAGAGAAATGATACTGCATCTTTATATTTTAAAATATGTATTGCTGCTCTAGAATGGTACCCTGTTGTCAAGAAGGCATACATACAGAATTGTAAATAGCTTGCTGAGATCTTTGGATTAAAGCGATTCAAGACTTAAAAAACTGAAGCGAATAAAATATATTTTCTTTTTTTTTCCTGTGATTGTGAGTTTGTTTGTGGTTTGTTTGAATTCCGATCGTTAGGGTTGCTTTGCTTTTCTGTGGCACCATCTACCTGGATTTATGGAGAGCAGGTATGTGCCGTTCTTTGGCTTTGTTTTGTCATGAACAGGAGTCCGTTTTCTTCCCCTCCCACTTCCACCTCCGTCGAGGGAAGGAACACGACACCAGGCTGTCGCAGGAAGCCCTGTGGTTAAGCTGCATCAGCTTCCGCAGCGACTGTCTCCAAAAAGTGTTTCTGGCCTGTTGTTAGTTGTGTCGTCTTTCAGAACCGTTTGTCTTTACGATATTGTTGATGGTGTAGAAATGGTTTTCCGGGTTCTGCTCACTTGACTGCATCTGTTCCTTTAAGTCTTCCCAGGTTTCTCTGAAATAATTCCCTTGATCATTTCATGTCATTTCTTTCTTTTTTTTTTTAAGATTTCACATACTTTAATCAAAAAATATATCGGAACAAATTGTCTACAGAAACAGATAGGAGTATCCAGCAATCTTCCCTTAAGCCAGATGTTAAAGAGACTGACCAAAAAAATATATATAAAACAATGCTGTTCTTTTCCCTAATTGGCAAAAATATATTTATATGAACATATAATGGGTTTCTTCTTAAATGGTTTAAAAATGTATCCATTGTAATTTCTGATACTGTAAATATTGATAGATGTAAACCACATAAAGACAAATTTTAAGAATATAAAGGATCCTGAGAGTAAACGTTTGAGAACTGCTGGTTTGGTGGACAGAAGACTGGCCTGTAAGCTGAGGAAGACATGGTTCCAGCCCCTGTTCTGACATATCCTGGCAAGTCATTTAACCCCAGTGTTCCAGGCAGGTGCAGAAAAGGTCCCAACCTGTATTAGGAGAGGGAATTTTCCTCACCTGAGAATTCTCTGTGGTCATGAATTCACAGGTATAGTCCCTATCCCTAGCCTTAGTATCAGCATCATTTTATATCTTAGAGCATGTTACCATACCCTAACTTGTTCAGCCATTCCCCAACTGATAGCCCTACCTCTCCAGTTTTTTGCCACCGCGAAAAGACCTGCTATGCATGTTTGTGTACACATGGGTCCTTTTTCCTCTTTCTCGGATCTCTTTGGGGCATAGAGCCAATAGTGGTGTTGCTGGGCCAGTTCAGTGACTTTTTCAGGCAGAGCTTCGGCTTTCCAAAATGGTGGCACCGCCTCCCAGCTCCACCAACAGCACATTAATGTGCCCATTTCCCCACCGCCCATCCCACTTCTAGCATTTTCCTTTTTTTGTCAGCTTTGCCAATTTGAGATTTAACAACTTGCTGATAGAATTTTTGAAAAATAGTTCCTGAGCAACAGTGCTGTTTCTTCAGTTATTAAGTTATTGTTCTATTACAACTTATTTTTATATATTAATATTATTATAGAGTTATTAAGTATCTTCCTATTACCTCTATTACTATTATGACTTGGATGAAGTCACATAAATGATGTGCAGATAATGCAGCTGAAAGGTCCAGCTAATAGGGTGGATTACAGAGCAGAATGAGGAAAGGTCTTAACAGGCCAGAACAGTGGTGTGGATGTAATAAGATAAAATTGACAGGCAATGTCTGATAGTGAACCTGTCTGATCGTGTGTGGGCCATTCAGCCCTTCCTCTCCCCAGCCTCTGTGCTAATGTGGCTGCTTTTTGGTTTAGTCCTTTTTTCATCGATGTGACCAAAGACACGTGGTAGTTTTGCTGCTTTTCAGATTCTTTATGTTTGTCCTTGTGCTGTATGGTGTCATTTCATTGTATCCACACACAGGTCAGCCGTTCTTCTGTAAGCACATCTGGAATTGTGATGTTAGGGTTCAGGGATGGTGGGTCTCCCATCCTTGATGAAAATAAGCTTTTCACATGGTTCTCTGAAAGGTGTTTCTGTTTGTGGTCTCCTGGTTTCATCCATGAGTATCCTTGGATTGACTTGACTTGGTTGAGTATCTTAAGCCAAGCTTTTTTTTTCTTCCAAGCTTTCTTTAAACTGGCTTCTACCTATCAGTCACTTCTCTCTGCTAAATGACTGGCTGTCACTTATAACCAGCCCCCATGTTTTACCCTGGCATCTCCATTTGGTCAGTAAGTCCAGTGATTGCTTGCTAAAGTGCGTTCTAGGCTCTTCAGTGTCTGCTGTGAAAATTAATTTACATAGTAAATTTCCTGATGAGACTGTAATTGGTGTTGATGTCATTTCTATTGTCCATTCCCATTTCTGATTTTCAGTTACTTCATTCCAGACTGTCATTTCACCTTGGCACTACATCTTTTTCTCATGCTTCTGATTTTATCTCCAGTGAATTGATGTGATTATACAGAAGACAGGACCAGCTCACATCAAAAACAAGTTTTCCCCTGCCTTAAAATGTAATTTTTTTCTTTATATTATTTTGTACTTTACCAATTTTCAAGAAAGCTTGTGAAATAGAAACATGGAGGTCTCTCTAATCTTTACAGATATTTAGCCTCTCATTCATTATTTGTGAACCTTCCTTCTCTCTGTTTTTCTCCATGTTCTGTCGAAGTCACCCTTACCCTCAGATGAGAAGGCATGGGAATGTTTGAGAGCAGTGGAAAAGAACCCATTGGTAAGGAGACATTGAAGATTCATGGAGGGGAGGGTTTGAAATAAAAAACACGGACAGGGGTTTGCTCTGCCAAGAACTATGCCTCGTTGTCAGAGACCAAAGAAAAGAGAGAGTGGGAGGCGATGTCAGGGGGGTTTGAGAAGAAAAGATGGGAGGAAAAGGACCTTCCATAGTAAACTAAGAACTCCGGTTCTCAAGCTGAGAGAGGGGATGGAGAAGGGGGTTACAGGCTTGAGGAGTCAAGAGAATGTTTGGAAGAACCTCCATGAGGTGTGGGATGGGTGATAATCAGGGAGGAATGGAAGGGCACCCTCGCTGCTTTGGGGACCCAGTTGGGGTGGGATGCCATGGATTGTAAGGTACACAGGCAGCTTAGTTGTGAGACTTCTGGTTTCCTGAGCGGAGGAGGCTGAGGTTTTGTAGAGAAGAGTGGCCATTGGCCTGGCTTCCCCAGGGCTGGCGGGAACTGGCTCCCTCATTTCCCCCAGAATTGTTCCTTTTCTTCCCTCCTTCCCTTCCACTGGTCCCTCTCATCCTTCCTCCAGACGCAGGTTTAATTTCTGTCCATTTATTAAACTTACCTGGTGAAAAAGAATAAAAAGGGCAGTAGGACCAGAGGGGACCAAGGATTCAAGAGCAGCGTCGAGCTGAAATGGCTGAGGCTGAGGTTGGAGTCAGGGCAGGGGGAATGGTCTGAGAAAGCATGGAGGGGCAGAGATAGCTGGACAGAGCAGGGAGACGTGGGCTGGGAAGAGGTGATGGTCATCAAGGGGAACGTCAGGGTGATGCAGTGGGAAAGTGGATCGTTTTTATGGTGAGATCTCAGGTGTGCTAGGTGTGAGGCTGAGGGGTAGTGAAGGACATCCAGGAACTTGAGGAAATGGGAGGTGATGCAGGGTCTACGTGGATGTTAAAGTTCCTGGCATTCTCCTTGGAGAGAAGAGGAAGATGGTGAGAGAGGAGGGAGAGAGAGAGAGAGAGAGGAGGAGGTGGACACACTGCAGCTCCCATAATTCAGACTGGGCAGAAAGTGTAATTATGTGGACTTCAGAGGAGGAAAAGTTGCAGAGTGGAGAATTGGGAAGCGATAGTGGGGAGCAAAGAGTATCTTGACTCTCTCCAGGCTCGCTATGTGGGGGGTGTTAGGGAGAGCAGAGCTGGGAAGCAGCCCCCGTCACCCCCTCTGTGAGTGTTCCCCCAAGGCTCTGTCCTAGACTCTCTTTCTTAGAGGCTCAGTGAGGGCTAATAAATCCAGCAGTCCAGGATGAAGGGGAATTTGTGTACTGTGGGAAGGCCCAGCGAATGGCACGAACCTATATAATGGTTAGCAATCGTTTGTTAAGCTCATACCATATTCCAGTAGCTCAAGAGAGATGTGAGATGCGTGCATTCAGAGAATCCAGCCCAAATGTTCCCACGGACGATTTGTGCCCGACCTGGGGTGGAGCCTTCTGAGCTCATGCTGGTCTGATCAGCCACAGTCAGACTCTCTGTGCCTTGACCCCAACATAGTGAGGCTGTTTTGGTCCTCTTGGAGAACGGAGGACAACAACCCCCCAACCATCACCGTGTTCCCGGTACTGGGCTAAGCGCTGGGTGTGTGAAGAAAGGCAAAAGAAAGCCCCTACTTTCCGGGAGCCGAGTCTGAGGGACGCCAGATAAACACAGGCTGAATCAGAGATGACCAGCAGAGGGCAGGCATGGGAAGGAAGGGGGATGAGGGAAAGGCTTCTGGCAGAAGGTGGGATTGTAGCTGGGACCTGAAGGGAGCCAGGGGAGCCAGGAGGTAGAGATGAGGCAGGAGGGAGGGCATTCCAGGCAGGGGCCACTGCCTGGGGCCAGGGAAAAGGCCTGGAAGAGGAAGGTGGAGTACTTTGGTCCAGTTTCCCTGCGTTGACTAATTCGCTTCAGGAACTATAATGAAGGAAAGCAATCACAAAAACACCACACAAATAAAGTCACATCTAGACAACTGGCAAAACATCAGCTGCTCATGGGTAGGCTGAGCTAATCCAATAAAAATGACAATTCTACTTAAATTAATTTACTTATTCACTGCCATACCAATCCAACTACCAAAAATGATTTTATAGAGCTAGAAAAAATAACAATTCATGTGGAAGAACAAAAGGTCCAGAATATCAAGGGGATCAGTGAAAAGAAGTGCAAAGGAAGGTGCCCTAGCCGCACCAGATCTAAAACGATGTTATAAAGTAGCAATCGTCAAAACGACTTGGTCCTGGCTAAGAAGTAGAGCTGTTGGTCAGTGGAGTAGGTTAGGTACACGAGACACAATAGTCAATGACTACAGTATCTACTGTTGGATAAACCCAAAGACCCCAGCTTCTGGGGTAAGACCCCACTCTTTGACAAAGACTGCTGGG